GTTGTGGAGAGAGAATGGTTCAGGATATGGGTAATAATAGGGGAAAGGATGTCAAGCAATGGAACGATCATGTTCCGGCTTATGTTATCATTTCCGACGGCATTCGAAGCAATTGAAAACTTATTTTGTTGTATACCTAATTATGAACTACCAGCTTTCCGCCGCGGCTTCGCCCGCGTGGAACTTTGTCTGTCACAGAAAAACAATATCGCGCGCGTATTTGCTCACCGCGCGCGTATTTGCTCACCGTTTAGACCTACCCTGAGCCCCGAGGTAATTTTTAACGTCTACAATCCAGTGGGTCTAGACAAAGTGCAAATTTTAATCGCAAACCAGTCGAAAAGTGGTCGAAAAGCCCCTTTTTTGTATGGAGTTTTGACGGATTCGATTTTCGATTCGATCAAAAAGTGCGTTTTGTCTAGGGGGGCTGACACGCTTCTCGATTCTACGATACGATTGGTCGTTCAACAGTGTACGTCAGCTGTTTTGACCAATCGTATCGCAGAATCAGAAACGCGTCTGGATTGTAGACGTTAATAAAAGTTACCGTAATCGGGGCTCTGGACAACGACAAACATTTTAAAACCACAATCAGCTCAATCGGCCCAGCCGTTCTCGAGTTTTAATCAGACTAACGAACATCAATTCATTTTCATTTATATAGATAGATAGATAGATAAATGTGTATTTGATATAACGATGAAGAGAACAATCAGCGTACTTTACACTTAAAATGATCTCCTTTAAAAGTCCGAAAGAACACCTTATTTCTGAAATTAAAATTACTTGCGTTTAAGAAAAAGTAGCTTTCTGTCAGCTTTTACATAAAAGCACAGGCCACAGTTGCACTCTGTTCACGTTTTAGCTTTGTTTGAACTAGCTATCCAAACGATACCGCGATTTGTTATAAAACTGAATTTCGATCGTTGATCAATCATATTGCAGCTGAAAATCGGGGCTACGTCGTGGTCCCCGTTTTATCTTATCGTGAATCACCGTAATTGCGCATTTTTAATGTTATCTTTGGTGACTCAAAAGGCGGAGCCCGGAGCCCCCAAATCAGTCAGTCATCACATGGTCCCATGGCGCAAATACACTATGCGGGAAATTGGCTAAGAAGTAATAGTGTGAACACCACTGCTTCGGTTACTTTCTTCTTCCCTCTCGCGTGCGGTCGCGCTTACTTCGGTGCGCGCGGGCAACTTGGACAATGAGGATCATTTCGATTTTTAGCTGTGAATGCAAATTTATAGGGCTAAGAAATCCTTAATACACAGTCCAAAAATTTTTGTTCTATGACAAAAATTGACGAAGTTATAGCCAAATTACTAAAAAAGTTCACTGACCGCCCGGCGCGGGGACGATGACGTCACTATATCCGATCCGAACGCTGCCGGCGTACTGCGTGGATAGAAAATATTTTTTTCTAGCCAAACTATCAGTTTTAGAGAAAAACTTATAATGACATTTATTCATCAGAATAAAGTAAGCTATCGATAGGTAATTTTTAAAAATAGAAATTGTGAAAAATATCGCAAAAAATCCATACACTCATACGATTCAATGGAACGCATGTATAAGTATTAATTTATTTACTTCTAACAATAAGGTATAGCTGAGGCAGATACACTCTGCCTAGGCTACAAGACATTGCTATGAAGATCATTTCGATGTACACGCAATACCTACCTGTTATTTAGTTTTTCTGAGTTAAACCTACGTACCTACCTATCTATTCGCCGTTCCCATGGGCGGGCCAGCTGCTGCAGGAAAGGACATTACTTTATTTTGATGAATAAATGTTATTAAAAGATTTTTTCTAAAACTGATAGTTTAGCTGGAAAAAAATATTTTCCATCCCAATAGTACGCCGGCTGCGCTCTATTCGGATATAGTGACGTCACGCGGCCCTGCGTACGTTGACTTTAAGCGGCAAAAACGGCCTATGTTTATTACTTAATATCTTCGTAAGTAATGGTCCGATTTGGATAATTCAAAAAGATATATCTTTCTTATGTCTTAAAGATCAACGTAGATACTAGTTTTATTGAATTTTCTACAACAGTACTGATCCTCATTTGCCGCATAGTGTACTTGCTCCTCACTTCCATCACTTTTATTATTTTATTTATTTTTGCTCTGTGCAGTTTTTCAAGGTGACAGCTGACAGCTGTCAGTCAGCCAGCAGCTGTCCATCCAAATTAAAGTCAAGTCAGTGTAATAAAATAGTTTTGGATGTGAATTTATACAGAATTAATTAATTGGATGTGATTGCGATGTTGACGCCAAAGTTATAAAAATTCTTCAAGCTTCAAAATTCATTAAATTTATAAAATGTTAAGAAGTTTTTACTGAGAAAGGTAGCTACCAAATTGTTACGAGTCAAGAATTTAAACAGATAATTTAATACATATTATTATCTATGTGTTGCACAATAATTAATAATGAAGACCTTTCCGATAATAATCGATGGGAAAGACTATGACAATACTTCTTTCATTATAGGATTAGCCCTTGCAATAAGTTCTAGCTTATTTATAGGTTCAAGTTTTATCATAAAAAAGATAGCTTTAAGAAAAATTAATGCATCAGGTAATGTCAGAGCTTCAGCTGGAGGATATGGGTACCTTAAGCAATGGATGTGGTGGTTAGGTTTATTGACTAGTAAGTACTTGAATTTTTCTAATTTATAGATTAAATTAATCTAAGTTTTAATATGTACATGATTGTTGTTTTGGTATTTTAGTGGGTGTTGGGGAGGCAGCAAATCTATTGGCATATGCATTTGCTCCAGCAGCTCTAGTCACCCCATTGGGTGCCTTAAGTATTATTGTGACGGCAATTCTATCATCCAGATTTCTCAATGAAAAGCTTAATGTGATTGCAAAAGTGAGTTTCATTTTTATAGTAGATTAGTACTGTAACATAAATATAAAGTAATAGCATAAAGTAATTGATACTCCCTATTATTTACAGATCAGCTGCTTTCTGTGCATTATTGGATCAGTGATATTTATTTTACATTCACCCAAATCAGAAGAGGTAAAGACATTCTCAGAACTAGCAGACAAACTTTGTGACTATTTGTTCTTGATTTATGTAGCAACTATAATTGTGATGAGTCTATTTGTTAAGGTAATATTTGTTCCCAGATTTGGTAATTCTAATGTTTTAGTATATTTATTAATGTGTTCATCAGTTGGTAGTTTGACAGTGGTATTTTGTAAAGCTGTTGCCTTAGGTATAAAAGAAAGTATTCATGGCAAATTAAATGTTTTTTCCCATTTTATGTTTTGGGTGTTGTTAGCTGGGTCAATTTTTTGCATAATGGTTCAAATGAACTATTTAAATAAATCTCTCGACATATTTAATACAAGTGTTGTTACTCCTGTATACTATGTCATGTTCACAGTGTTAGTAATAATTGCTTCTGGCATTTTATTCAGAGAGTGGCATTACATGTCACCTGCGGATATTGCTGGATGCTGTTGTGGTTTTTTAGTTGTCACAACAGCTGTATTTATGCTCAACATATTCAAAGATGTACCACTTTCATTTAGGGAAATAAATATGAACCCTAGGGTTAGATGGAACTCAAATGTTGAAGAATTACCAACCAATAACTATATGTTAAACCACTAATAGAGAAAAATATGAAGTTAATGTTATTGTATTAAGATTATAGTAACTAGATTAAGATAGATACCTTTAAACTTATTTGTTACAATAATAATTTATAATAAATGTTATGTAATCAAAATACTGAATTATTTAATTTTGTATTTGTACCTACACAATTNGCCATATTTCTTACAATTTCTGTTTTCGGCCTAACGCCCCAATTTTTTATTATAGCCATGAAGCTACAGACAAAAATGGAGGCCACACTCCGAATACCTACTTGAAGCACAAACTAAGTATCACTATCTCGCTCTCTGTGGGCAGACTCGCTCTTTCTAAATAAACAAAAAATATAAAATTGCTGAAATTCAATTAAACCAATGTAAAATCTTTATTTCTTGACATAGGTATCATTAAAAATGATAAGTGTAATTACTGGTAAAACGTTTTAGGAAGAAATTACTGTAAAACATGTGAAAAATGTTTACAATGATCCAATGTCGGAAATCACGAAATAAACACTTACGCGTGGAATCTTATGTAACTTCCAGGACACCACGTACTACCGCAACCACGCACTACAAAATTTTGCACCAATTCTTGTGATAAAACAATGATTATTTCCTGTAAACAATCTCAAACGAAATTAACTGCTTAATAAACAAAATAGTAAACAACCGCCATGATGGGCCGGATTGGGCCGATGTTGCCACATGGTACCGATTACCCAGGAATTGGGATTGTAATTCCCTGATTCGCCAACACATNTCCCTATTATTTACAGATCAGCTGCTTTCTGTGCATTATTGGATCAGTGATATTTATTTTACATTCACCCAAATCAGAAGAGGTAAAGACATTCTCAGAACTAGCAGACAAACTTTGTGACTATTTGTTCTTGATTTATGTAGCAACTATAATTGTGATGAGTCTATTTGTTAAGGTAATATTTGTTCCCAGATTTGGTAATTCTAATGTTTTAGTATATTTATTAATGTGTTCATCAGTTGGTAGTTTGACAGTGGTATTTTGTAAAGCTGTTGCCTTAGGTATAAAAGAAAGTATTCATGGCAAATTAAATGTTTTTTCCCATTTTATGTTTTGGGTGTTGTTAGCTGGGTCAATTTTTTGCATAATGGTTCAAATGAACTATTTAAATAAATCTCTCGACATATTTAATACAAGTGTTGTTACTCCTGTATACTATGTCATGTTCACAGTGTTAGTAATAATTGCTTCTGGCATTTTATTCAGAGAGTGGCATTACATGTCACCTGCGGATATTGCTGGATGCTGTTGTGGTTTTTTAGTTGTCACAACAGCTGTATTTATGCTCAACATATTCAAAGATGTACCACTTTCATTTAGGGAAATAAATATGAACCCTAGGGTTAGATGGAACTCAAATGTTGAAGAATTACCAACCAATAACTATATGTTAAACCACTAATAGAGAAAAATATGAAGTTAATGTGATTGTATTAAGATTATAGTAACTAGATTAACCCATTAACGCCCAAATGAAAACTACGGTCAATTTCACATAGCCAATGTTTATTTTCTTTATAAAAATACTTCAGAAATAATACTAAACAGAAAGAAAACCAAAAACAAAATCAGAACTTAGGTTTTTAGGGGTGTACTAAGTTTAGTACAATGGGCGCTTATGAGTCATAATGAGCAAAGCCTTCTCCATCCTGTCACAGTGTTTTCAGGCACTTGCCATAAGCTATTTTGACTCTACTGAAACACACAGTAATTTTAAGCGGTCAAATCAGCTTGTTTGCTGGTTTATTTTGATTATAACCATTATTTCATATTTCTTCTCCATCAACTAGAGCAAGATTACCTACTATTATTTATCTTTTATAGGTCAAATATGTGCGCTACTATAATATTTGCAGAATGCTAGCTGATCTAAGCGAATATATTATGATTTTATTTACTATGCAGTGCAGGCTGCATGCATTTGAAATTGACATGTCCACCATATAAGCGAACAAGACCCATCCACCACTTTTTTCCTTTTACCTCAGTTTGGTAAAGTTCTATAGACTATCCATCTGATCTAACCCACTAATCTTTTTATTATACTGGAGCTGGACACCCAGTGGTGCCTTACTCTACTTTTTTTTATCAAAAGACCCCATATATAATGACCTTTCCCAATGGTTCTAAAGCATCAACATTTGTTCCAATAGTACCCACATTTCTTCAATCATTATCTTTCAATCAATACTAATAAAATTATGTTTGCCTTGTCGAATCTGTCTCTAGGCTTTTTGTGCAAATCTTTATAAGTAATCAAAGGATACTGTTTGGTTCTGTAGTCACGTATGGTTCCAAAAAGTATGTAACTAAGTATCTTTAGGTCGACAGACCGGTCGTAATTGGGAAAACAAAATGTTTCTTTTTTTGTCTGTAATCCCATAAACAAAGAGCCATGTTATTGGAAAACGAAAACAATGATTACATATAAAAACTATGAAGAAATAAGTAAACACTCTAATAATAATGTCATTATTTTACTATTTTACGTAACATGTCAAGCGCCCATTGTACTAAAGTTAGTACAGCATCACTTTGGGAGTTATAGCATAAAAAACTTTCCATGAAATGAACTTTTTTATATATTTTTTATTAGGATATGCTGTTAGCTAATACACTAACAACTTATTCGGTATTTTGTGTAACTTAAACCTTGTACAAAAAATTGTCAACTATCCACTAGGAGATACGAAAAAATCACTGAAACGAAATCGCAGAATACCCCCTTAAGATTTTATAATTATGTTCTGTTTCATCTCAGGATGTAATGCATAGACATTTGTTTACCGATTGGAATTATTTCCAGAGTTAAAATATCCACTAAATCAGATTTATCGTAACTTAAAGTTGTGTACAATTTATAGTACGGCGGGCGTTAATGGGTTAAGATAGATACCTTTAAACTTATTTGTTACAATAATAATTTATAATAAATGTTATGTAATCAAAATACTGAATTATTTAATTTTGTATTTGTACCTACACAATTCTTGGATTGGCTATATTGCTGTGATTCCCATAAGTATTTTAGTGACTTACTGTGTTGGTGGCAATTAAAAATAATAAAAAGATTAAAAAGTTTATTCAACAATCTCACTAATAAATTATTTTTCTACAAGCAAAATTATAGATCATCCAAAGCAAGGAATGTTTAATAGGAAAATTGTAAAAATCACAAGTACACTGTTACAGAGTGATAAATAAATGTTCTGCAAATAGGACAAGTTCTTTGATATCCATAAAGTCTTCTGCAACATTCAGCACACAAACACACATGACGACAAGGTAACGTCAACACACACTTTTGTCGTTCCTGACATATAATACACAAAGCATCTGCACTTCCATTGTCTTCATTTTCATTATTAACACTCAAATCAGAATCTCTGGTTTCAATACTCTGACCATTTGCCATATGTGCAATCACCCTCACTTCTGAATCAGTCACATAATTATAGAGTGTATAATACAAATATAATATTTTTCTTATAACTGACCAGTGAAGGTCTATCATTTGTGAAATAATCGTACTTCTAAAATGTACACAGAGACGAACTAATATGATACCACTCACAATACCAAGGAATGACTCCAGAGGCACGTCTGTCATGAAGTTGGTCAATTTTAGTAATGCCATGTAAGAATCCACAATGGCATCACACACTGCATTTTTGACAAACCCAAAACCAATTTGTAAGAGTAGTGGAACTTGTAACGGTAGGAAAGTTATAATCAGCCACAGGGTATTGCCCACAAATATGGCAGCATCTTTCAGTAAGAATAAGACTTCACTTACTACTTTCATGATTGCATCGAAAATGCTTAGAAATGTTCCAAGTACTACCCCAATCTTATAGTTGACATCATTAAACAGTAATCCCAAACAACTTAAAACATAATGAATCTGGCTGTCACAGGTATCGACAGAATGTTGAACCAAATTCGGTATATCTTCTGTAACTATTTTAAGGTTATCTTCATAAACTATTTGCAGGAGTAACGCCAAACTTGCAAAAACATTGTTTATAGCATTTGCAATGCCTGCAGCAGTCGCAACTATTAGTTTTCCTATATATGACACAATATAAAATACTTTAACAATGGTATCCGCCACTGAATTAATAATTGTTGCTATAATTGAGATCATAATTGCAACATTCTGTATTGACCTTTCAAATTGCCTCAAATGTGTAATATTTCTTTCAGTAGTAACGTTTAATAAATTGCAGGGAGGTGGTGAAACTTCGAAAAAAANTAAAAAAACCGTTTGTTTACAGTTTTACACCATAGTTTTCACCCGCACGCAATGACAGGCATAGAGAAAAGTAATATAGGATGACAGGTGACTGAGGTGACAGACAATAATATTGGGGCGCGTTTGGCAGAAAATAAAATTCTTAGCGTAAAAAAAAATGGCGTTTGTTTAGCGGTAATAATATCACTGCTGAAAAAATGTATGGAAAATGTCATTATTGAAGTTAGCAAACATGTCCTCGCTAAAAACATGATAAAGTTTGAATAAACCACGGATACTCTCGGCGCACTTAAGGGACTCTTATCTAAGTATAAATAAGACGTCAATATGTAGGTGACAATTTATTGCTTGACACAGGTTGTCAATGGTTCACCAAGGTTGTCAAAGGTTCTCAAAGGTTAACAGATGTCAAAATTAGTGTCCGACCGAATATGGATTTTCAGCCGAAAACGGAAACGAAAACGAAGCTTCGGCTGCAGTCTCATTTTCGGCCGAAAACGAAAACGAAAACGAAAATGACCTTCAACTCTCAAATTTCAATCTGAAATTATGTAAAAACTTTGAAAACCGTTAATGTTTTGACCAAAAACATAATGACGTTTTACAGTTGATTTTGATAAGGATTGATTAAAGAAAACCGGCATTAAGACACAAAAAAATTAATTAGGAATTCTTAGTAGAATATTATTTCCTATCCGGTGTATATTGAAATATTGGGAAGTGAAGAAGAAATAAAGGGTGTCCAGTGCGAATTTTTCAACTTCAAAAATGTATTCAACAAATAAATTAATGATTTTTTATTATTTATTACTAATGCAAAGTTAGGAGTTTAACAATGCGGATTTAATTTTTTATAGGCAATGTCTTTTAAATGATGCCCGTTTTACTATAGGCACTCTCACAGCCGGACCCTTACATTCGCAACTATGCGAGAGCAAATCGCGCTAATAATTTTTCTACAACTTCACGGCGGATATTTTTTTACAGAACCTGAATTATTTAAGGATTGTTTGCTGTAAACTTTTGACTTGAGATATCTCCACAAGAAAAAGTCGCATGGTGTGAGATCTGGTGACCGAGGCAGCATTTGGTATGTCCCAGTACTTGCTGATCATTTATTTGAAAAAAAAAAATAGTCCTCAGTGTCTCCATCGAGGTACTCTCCGTGTGTGGTGAGACACCTTTTTTGCTGAAATAGAGTTACGTAGTTGACCGGGATGCAGTTGCAGTTGTGGTATCAGACATTCATTGATCATTCGACAATACATTTCAAATACTCTAATAATGCTCAACTGCGAACGCTCTGTAGGCTCCCGACCAGTGACTCATGGCGTATTTCAAATCCGCATTAGACTCTATTTTGAAACAATTAAACTTACTGAAAACTCTTTGGTTTTATTTGTATTCAATTTTGAACTTGGAAAATTCTAGCTGGACATCCTTTACAACGTAACCTCACTTCACAACTTCAAAAGAGTGTGACAATACCGCGTCCGTTCAAGTCTGATTGGAACCATGAGTGCACCAGATTCACTCCCGAAGATATCGGAACGATAAACGTCACCATCTTATTCACGTATTTCTGATATTCGGTTTGGCCGAAGCTTCGGCTCGTTTTTGGCCGAAAACGAAAATATGGCCGAATGTCCATTTTTTGGCCGAAAATGGCCGAAAACGAAAACGAAAGCGAATATTCGGTCGGTCACTAGTCAAAATACTCCAGGTATATAAAGCCAGGGAAAAAAATCTGGACACCGCGGTACAACTTTTCGCATCTCAGAGTACAGTGACATCTCTCGGCAAATAATACAATCAAGTTTCATGGAAGGTTTATACATATCGCCCACCAAGGACCTTCCTAGGTCCTTAACAACAGGAAAATCGAAATAAACCCAATGAAACTTAATGCGAATGCNAAGTTTTGGTTCCAACTCTGCCCTCCATTTTTATCTTTAGCTTCATGATTATAGCCACGATAGCCGAACGGTGAAGGGGTCGGAGTGGCCTACTCGAGATCCGAAGATCGCGGGTTCGAATCCCACCGCCGCTCGACTATTGTGGTGAGCCCACTCGTAACACAAGTTTATTTAGCTTAACACGAGGGGTTAATGGGACTATTAGTAATTTGGGCAATACAAATTGCTAATAATCTTTAAAAAAAATGTCATCATCGATCAGCACCCGCGCAAAACATTTCCCGCACTCTTGATAGGAGGATAGATCAAAAAGTAATAGGTACACTGAAGGTTTATTAAGGACTAGCTTTTGCCAATGACTTGCCCGCGGCTTCACCCGCGTGAAATTTAGTTTGTCCTTAGAGTTTGTCACAGATCGTCATAAATTATCTATACTAATATTAAAAATGCGAGATGCCGGTATCACAAAGTCCTTTCCTATCCCCATACTTTCACCCTAAGAGAACGGACTAGGTAGTTGTGAATTTAACCGCAAGAAAGAACCGCAAGTACAATAATAAAAAATAATTAATTTTTGTTTCAGTATGTACTATCGCCAACAGTGTTAATTGCCTATTGAAAGTCATGTCATCTCGTTCTATCGCAAAGAATCGCCATTTGATTAGAGCGAGAGCAAAAACGGAAACGGATAGTTAACAGTGTGGGAGTGTGTACAATGTACATACGTGGGAATCAATTTTATAAATAAAACAATTTATTTTTATTTAAAATTGACATATTTATTTTGTTTTACATAATAAAGCATAATTAAGATTGAAGACATTTTCACGGAAGAATACCTATTGCCTTATTAGCATTAATTAATAATAATCTACCCTTTGCGCGGTGCTTCTATCGTGAAAAAATATCTCTGCATTGACAAAACACATATAAATTACGATTCGATCTGCTCCGCTCAATTATTAGATATTTTACTGAAGGATAGACTATACAGGGTGTTAGGTATATGGGTATATGAGCCGACACTAGCCCATGTTAACATGGTCATATAAATGGTATGGTGAAGTCAGAAAATTGATATCTTCATTTTAATTATTTTATTTTTCATACAAATCGGATTTTATAAAAAATATTTTGTATGGAAATTAAAAAAATTAAAATGATGATATCAAATTTCTGACTTCACCATACCATTTATATGCCCATGTTAACATGGGCTAGTGTCGGCTCATATACCCATTTACCTAACACCCTGTATATGAAACATGAGGATAAACTAAGCGCCGCTGCGTCTTTACGTAAAAGCTGACAGAAAGTAACTTTTTCTCAAACGCTTCACGAAAATTTGCTGTTTATGTAATTTTAGTTTAAAAAATTTGTTATTTCGTCTTTGTTAGCGCGTGAACTTTACCGCGATACCGAATTGCATATAAGCTGAAATTAAACTGGACCGGAAGTCGGGCGCGACTGGAGATCAAACGCAAATGAATCGGAGACATTACAAATTCATGGGGCTTAGTGTGAGTTTACATCAAACGAATTCAATATCGAGTGCGTCAAAAAATCTATGAAGATTTTAGTTTTTGAAAGTATCCGCTAGGGACGCTCTACAATCCGTCATACATATGTAATTTTTTGACGCACTCGATATCAAATACGTTTGATGTAAACTCACACCCTGATGATGACCCATTACACCCCATAGTTTTCATATAGTCGATCCTCAAGTAACTTTTGCTCTCCCAAGATAGATATTAGTGATCCATTTTATAAAGTGGCACAATGACCAAAAACTTAAATACTAGTACTAATTTATTGATATCGTTAAAAACTTAGCCAACTGTGATTTAATCTTATTTCAATTTACGTTACTAATGCATGTAAAAGCGACAAAATTATGATCCACAACTTAAACATTCGTCTTTGTTTTGCAGGGAGCAAGTAATTGCTGCCATATTTTCATCTATTTCAGGCTTACCATTTTGTGCTGTATTCTTAACTTTAGCTTTGTCAACAGTAAATTGAATGGCATTTGCAGCGGGTTTCGTTCGCAAATAGTACATGCCGGTTTTGAGCCCCAATTTCCATGCATAAAAATGTATAGATGTTAATTTTCCATAATTTGGCTTAGCAACATGTATATTAAATGACTGACTCTGATCGATGAATGCACCTCTATCTGCAGCCATCTGAATTGTTGTTTTTACAGATATCTCCCAAACTGTTTTATATAAATCTCGAATGTCTTTGGGAATAGCTTCTATTTCTTGAATAGATCCATTGTTATGAATAATTAAATTCTTCATATCTTCATCCCACAATTCAGCCTCAGTTAAATCACGTAGTAAATGATGATTAACAACTTGAAATTCTCCAGACAACACTCTTCTTTGATATATGTTGGATGTAAAGGGTTCGAAAGATTCATTATTGCCAAGGATTTGAGCAGTAGATGCTGTTGGCATTGGAGCTAATAGCAATGAATTTCTGAGACCATGTTTCGCAATTTTATCTTTAAGTGACGACCAATCCCAAAGGTCAGAAGGCGTTTTATCCCACATATCATATTGTAATATGCCTTGGCTGGCAGGACTTCCTGAATAGGTTTCATAAACTCCATGTTTCTCAGCTAATTCGCAACTAGCTTCTAAGGCTCCGTAGTAAATAGTTTCAAATATTTGTTGATTTAACTTAATGGCTTTTTCACTTTCGTATGGAATGCGCATCAAAACAAAAGCATCAGCTAACCCTTGAACACCTATACCGATAGGCCTGTGCCTCATATTAGATTTTCTTGCCTCTGGGACAGGATAAAAGTTGACATCTATAATTTTATTCAAATTTTGGGTAATGGTTTTTGTAACTTCTTTTAATTTCATAAAATCATATGTTTTATCATCATTCACAAACATGTTTAATGCAATTGAAGCCAGGTTACATACTGCTATTTCATCTGCTGATGTATATTCCACGATTTCTGTACATAAATTGCTGCATTTGATGGTTCCCAAGTTCTTTTGATTACTTTTTCTGTTGCATGCATCTTTGTACAGCATATATGGGGTTCCCGTCTCGACTTGTGCCTCAATAATGGCCTTCCACAAAATTTGAGCTTTTACTTGTTTCATGAATCGTTTTTCTTGTTCATATTTTGTGTATAATGTTTCGAATTCCTCTCCCCAACAATCGGCTAAGCCAGGACAGTCATGTGGACACATCAGACTCCAATCTTCATTTTTTTCTACTCTCTTCATGAATAAATCTGGTATCCACAAAGCGTAAAATAGTTCCCTAGCACGTGTTTCTTCCTTTCCAGTATTCTTTTTCAAGTCTAAAAATTCGAATATGTCTGCGTGCCACGGTTCTAAGTACACAGCAAAAGCACCAGGACGTTTGTTACCACCCTGATCGACGTACCGAGCAGTGTTGTTGTAAACTCTAAGCATCGGAACAAGTCCGTTTGACACACCATTTGTTCCAGCAATATATGATCCTTTTGCCCTTATACAGTGAACATGAACTCCAATACCACCAGCAGATTTCGATATTAAAGCACACTGTTTCAAAGTATCATAGATTCCTTCAATGCTATCATCTCTCATGGCTACAAGGAAACAAGAAGACAACTGAGGACGAGGTGTCGCAGCAGCGAACAAAGTAGGGCTTGCATGGGTGAAATATTTTTCCGACAGTAAATTATAAGTGTTTATAGTGGCATCGATGTCTTCACCGTGAATACCAATAGCACATCTCATCAGCATATGTTGTGGTCGTTCAGCTACCTGAAAAAGAAATTCCAAAATAAATCAAGTTTTATGTCTAGGAAACTGGACTTAATTTGCTTAGCCCTAATTAGTAGGTAATTCAGCAAAAACTTGCAGATGCTGCTGTGATTACTTGCTCAGTGGATGCTGCGACGATTTTAATACAGTATGTTACTTAAATGTTTTGCATATTTCCTAATAAACTTGGGGGAATTATTGTCTTTCTATTTATCAGTATGATTATTTTTAGGAGCGACTCGGTAAATCGATTTACGTAAAGTATTTTTTTTTTCATATTTAATTATTTTCATCAGCTGCATGCGGTTTCAAAATCACTGCGTGTGCCATACATTTAGATTAAGCGCAGACCACCGATTTTTAGTTGGCCGATAGTTGGGCCCGATTTTAATTTGTACTAGCGGCCGCCCGGCCGGCCGGACTTCGTACGCGTGGATCCTGTTTTACCCCCTTTTCCCGAATTTTCTTTGCTATAAACCTCACGGAGCCCGAGACCTTACCAACGAATGCAAAACTGTGGAAACCGGTTCGTGCGTTCTGGAGTTATAGCGTCAGGGAGGAAACCCCGACTTATTTTTATACAGTGTGAGTCACGTTAAAGTGTACATATGAAAATAGATGAAACTAGACCTATTTTTATCGACAAAAAAGAGGTCAAAAAATTTTTGAGATTTTTTTTTAATTTTTTATTGATTTTTTTTTCTTCCAATTACTTATTGTAAAGAAAACATAATAACTTTTAAACTAAGCGGTATATCTTGATAAAATAAAAACAGTAATAATGCTAAATAACAGGCAATACTTAAAAAATACATAAAATACACAAAAAAGGCCAACAAATAATAAAAAAATTATAGTTTTTGAAAAAAATCCGCTTAAAAATTCGTGTTTTTTTTGGTTATTTGATAAATTTCTCCAAAAAATGCCCCTATAACCGGTAGTTTTTATTACTTTGTATTATTTTCTATCGTATTACCTTCGTAAAACGATAAATCGCATGTCTCTATCCCTATCACAACGTTTGCAATGATCGTTTGAACTAAGCTTCTCCGGGCGTGCCATTCAACGCTTCGTTAACAACAAAACTGAAAATGGCTCTAGATTTGTAATTTTGATAAAGACAAGTTAGATTTCAAATAAAAACAAAAGATTTCGAAGTAAAATAAGCATTTTAGTTAAAATTAAAATTGTCTCTACCTGTAGCGGAGAATAATGTTGTGGCAGGCCTTTGTTCAAACGATCATAGCAAATGTTGTGATAGGGATAGAGACATGCGATTTTTGGTTTTACAAAGATAATACGATAGAAAATAATACAAAGTAATAAAAACCACCGGTTATAGGGGCATTTTTTGGAAAAATTGATAAAATAACCAAAAAAACGCGAATTTTTAAGCAGATTTTTTTCAAAAAGTATCTATTTTTATTATTTGTTGGCATTTATGGTGTATTTTATGTATTTTTTTAGTATTGCCTGTTATTTAGCATTATTACTGTTTTTATTTTATCAGGATATACCGCTTAGTTTAAAAGTTATTACGTTTTCTTTACAATAGGTAATTTGAAGAAAAAAAATTCAATAAAAAATAAAAAAAAAATCTCAAAAATTTTTTGACCTCTTTTTTGTCGATAAAAATAGGTCTAGTTTCATCTATTTTCATATTTACACTTTAACGTGACTCACACTGTATNTCATGACGCTGTGAGTTTTAAAATCTCCAACCAACTCTCAACATGTTCACATTAGAAAAGGATCAAGAACTGCAACAGGTAAGTACACTTTTTTTACATTTCAACATCAGCACTAAAGTTTTCAGATTGGCATGCAACTAACTAACACAACCCATAGCCTTCTGTATCACTACTGATGTTCTTACCCGTCGCGTTTCTCAAGCGTATCTTTTTTTATTTTTAACCTTTCTTTTTGTTTCAGGTTTCTCGAAGGTCTGCACGTCGACCTTATTGCGGATCACATCTTCACTGCAGTTCCCGGTGATACCGTCAACTTTCCTTATTTCATCAGTTTTTCTTTTCAGCCCTTCTTCGTTTCCTTTCCGTTGACTTACTTTACCACCCTCTTTCGTTGTCTTTACCAAATCTTCATTGTTAGTAGTCAAATTTTGCAACACACATTCTTCTTTATCTAACATCATATTCATTTCTCTGTAAAGTTGACTCCCTTGATCGACAGTTCCGCAACCCATCATGAGATCGTCCACATTAAAGTCTGACAGTATCTTCTCAGCCGCCGTTGAAGAATCTTCACCGAGATCCAAATTCATGTCAACATATTCACTAACAACCTCTGTGTACTTCTGTTTCAGATCGCCATTTTTCAGTCTACGTGTTAATGAATACATTCTTTTTTCAGGTGTTTGCCGGGAATTCTTCTCTTCGGGATCTTCATTCTTCACCGGAAGACGACGCACAATGTATCGATCAGTGTCATCTGTACGAGAAGTTTTGGTAAAGTATTCTTCGCAAGTCTCTTCATTTTTTGTAGACGTTCTTTCTTTTGGCAACGGAACGTCATCTTCTAGCTTCCTAAAACTTTTTAGAAGCTGATTATCCTCCACGCTACAATGCATCACATTTATTGTTTCAGAGGGCTTCGTGGTCGTGGGCGTGTTAACGACACCAGACAGAATCCACCCCAATGACGAACACTGAGCGAGTGGTGAACCAAGTGGTCCCTTGATGACTCCGTTTTGAATTATCCGGCTATATACTTCTGACCCCAACAACAAATCTACACTGTTAGAAGTATAATAGCTCGGATCCGCGAGGACAATGCCCTCAAGCTCCTTCCATTCCTCCGCTCTTATTTTCCGGTTAGGTAAAAGCGTTGTGATGGACCCTAGTACGTAAGCTTTCACTGTTGCAATAAAGTTCGGATCGACCCGTGATGCTATTTTAATTTCCACCATAGACCTCGTCGTAAGCCCGTTCGTGCCACCTACTCCTATGATCTGCCCTTTAACTGGTATCTTTTTCAACCCCAACAATTGACTGGGCTCCGGGACTTCCTCCTTAGGGCTCCGAGCGTGTCTCCACCAGATGGCGCCACTTCAGCGCAGCACCACCATCATCATCTGATGTTCCTCAACCAGTTGGTTGCCCTGACAGCACCACAGCTGGTACTGTCAAACTGGTGTCAGCAGCTCCTAGCTGACCCAGCTTCTTCACCTGTCCTGTTTGCGACAGCAATCCACTGTCCAGGACGTCACCCCCCTCCAAAAATGCACAAAGTGTGATCGCGGCACCTGCACCGTTACCAGTGCCCAATGGACATCAGCTTCCTGATGATATCCGACTCGACAGGACCATGAATAAACCACGGATACTCTCGGCGCACTTAAGGGACTCTTATCTAAGTATAAATAAGACGTCAATATGTAGGTGACAATTTATTGCTTGACACAGGTTGTCAATGGTTCACCAAGGTTGTCAAAGGTTCTCAAAGGTTAACAGATGTCAAAATACTCCAGGTATATAAAGCCAGGGAAAAAAATCTGGACACCGCGGTACAACTTTTCGCATCTCAGAGTACAGTGACATCTCTCGGCAAATAATACAATCAAGTTTCATGGAAGGTTTATACAAAGTTTTCAGCGATTGCCATCGCGATCGCGCCATATTNTATAGTAGATGAAGAATCGGTCAAATGAAATCGGTGTAATGTGCGCACTTCCATACATGCCCATACTGATCAACTGCCCGACCCATGTGCCCGACTAAACTATCGGCCGACGAAAAATCGATGGTTTGCGCCTAGGCTAACTTTGTTAAAAATACGTCAGTTAACTGTAACTGCAAAGTTTATTAGACATTATGGTGCGCGAAAATAAGCCTTAAAGGCTTCCACAGACCAAACGCGGGTCAGAAGCAGTGCGGGTCAGTTGTAGCGCGGCTGAGGCACACTGAAAGCAGGCCAGTTTCAAAGCAGTTGCAACGCGGGCGGTTGTCAAAAATTTAAATATTCGAAAACCGCTTTCAACGCGCTGCTACCGCCCTGCGTCCGGTGTGTCATGCCAGTCATGCTAATATGGCCGCCATAGTACCACCTACAACAGCGCGGGTCCGCGCTCGCGCCGCTTCTGTCCCGCACCCGCGCCGCCTCGTTTGTCGTTCGGCAGTTGCAGTGCGGCGCAGTTGGAGCGCGGGCCCGCGTTCAAATTTGGTGTGACACACTTCAAAGAGTTTCTTGTATTACAACTTGCGCGGGCCCGCACTCAAACTGCGCTGCTACTGCCCCGCGTTTGGTCTGTGGAAGCCTTAAAACTTAAGATTCACCCGTGGCACCAGCACCTGCGACAGTATCTTAAAATTTTATTTTTTTCGAAAAATACTACATAAATTAAACATTTTGACATCACTAACTGTTTGCAAAATCACCCTATGAATGTTTCTTTAAGACTAGGTAATAGGTACTTAAAATAAAGATGATGAAGGTGGTCTCTTGAGTTACTGACTTTATCGCGAATTATTATCTTATTAAGTGTGAATATCTATGTATAGTATAATCATGAATTCTATTTGTCTATGGAAAAATCTTATCTATACAGTGAGAGTCACGTTAAAGTGTACATATGAAAATAGATGAAACTAGACCTATTTTTATCGACAAAAAAGAGGTCAAAAAATATTTGAGATTTTTTTTTAATTTTTAATAGATTTTTTTTTCTTCCAATTACTTATTGTAAAGAAAACGTAATAACTTTTAACCGCTTAGAGGTATATCCTTAAAAATAAAAACAGTAATAATGCTAAATAACAGGCAATACTAAAAAAATACATAAGATACACAAAAAAGCCCAACAAATAATAAAAAATGACACTTTTTGAAAAAAAATCTGCTTTTAAATTCGTGTTTTTTTGGTTATTTGATAAATTTCTCCAAAAAATGCCCCTATAACCAGTGGTTTTTATTACTTTGTATTATTCTCTATCGTATTACCTTCGTAAAACCAAAAATCGCATGTCTCTATCCCTATCACAATGTTTGCAATGATCGTTTGAATTAAGCCTCTCCGGGCGCGCTATTCAACCCTTCGATAACAACGAAACTAAAAATGGCTCTAGATTTGTAATTTTGATAAAGACAAGTTAGATTTCAAATAAAATCAAAAGATTTTGAAGTAAAATAAGCATTTTAGTTAAAATTAAAATTGTCTCTACCTGTAGCGGAGAATAATGTTGTGGAAGGCCTTTGTTCAAACGATCATAGCAAATGTTGTGGTAGGGATAGAGACATGCTATTTTTGGTTTTACAAAGATAATACTATAGAAAATAATACAAAGTAATAAAAACCACCTGTTATAGGGGCAATTTTTGGAGAAATTTATCAAATAACCAAAAAATCACGAATTTAAAAGCAGATTTTATTCAAAAAGTATCATTTTTTATTATTTGTTGGCATTTTTTGTGTAATTTATGTATTTTTTTAGTATCGCCTCTTATTTAACTTTATTACTGTTTTTATTTTATCAGGATATACCGCTTAGTTTAAAAGTTATTACGTTTTCTTTACAATAAATAATGGGAAGAAAAAAAATTGTATAAAAAAAAAAATTGACCTCTTTTTTGTCAATAGTTTCATCTATTTTCATATGTACACTTTAACGTGACTCACACTGTATACCAATGTGGAAAGGGAATATTTATAATTTCAGGGAATAAATGTGTAAAGAAAAGAAGGGAAAGTAAGGAAACTTTCGTAAACAAGTTACACTGCCAAGAATTTTGACATTGATATAATTAATTAGCTAGTTGAATAAGTTTATACAGCTGAGTTGCACCACCAAACTTTAACTGATATGTTATACACGGTAGCATAGCATCATAAATCATCAAGTAACAAAGAAAAATGTAGTCTGATGTGCTGTTGACTTACCTATATATTTTTTATTATTGTATGAAAATAAACTCTTACCAAAGCTTGGCATCATGAACTACTAAGGCAACTAAAACTTTACCTGTAAAATTTAAAATAGTTTCTTGCTGATAATAAAGTAACACCAGATTATTTTAGCTGTTAGTTACCTTATTATTTATCTTCAATAGATAAGACCGTTCTAAAGTTTTGAAGCCGAAGTAGTTGTATTTAAAATCTCTGTCATATACAATAGCCGAATCCAATCTTTCCTTGTTTTTCATAATGATGTCATAGTGAAAATCCGATATCATAGGAGCTCTTTTTTTTGTATGTGGATTTACAATGTTGTATAAATCTGTCATTACATCTACAAAAAAGAACATAAATGTTATACAGACCATCATGAGTATCAGATAAACATATACATATAAGGGCCCTTACACATTGTGATTTTTTGCAGCAATATTTAAAAGCATATTCTTTGCTGTCATAGGCTAACAATTTTCTAATGAATTAAACTAACCTGAAAAGTGTTTTTTTGTTTCTTTGTGCAAGTTAGATATAGCTAAACGTGCAGCTAACAGGGCATAATCTGGGTGATCCGTAGTCATTGTTGCTGCAGTTTCAGCAGCTAAGTTGTCTAATTCAACGGTGGTTACCCCGGAATATATTCCATTAATGACTTTTAATGTTATGGATACCTGTAAAACAAAAAGTTCATTTTGTTCAAGATAAAAACCTGGGAACTTTTAAGTAGAGAAACAAGGGTTAAAATCTTATAAAAAAACCTGGAAACTAGGCTGCTTTATGTTTGGAAAATCTTGAATCTGCAATCTTTTATAAGCATTTTAGATGTTTTATAAGCATTGTATAAAAAAGCAAGGGGAAAAACAAAAGGAAGCTAAGTACTGCCTGAATGATTGCAGCAGTTATAATTTCGCTATTTTATCTCACATTCAGGTATAACATGGGGATTCCCCAGCTCGTGGGGTTTATATGATGAATAGTAAAGGCTTTTGTTCCCATATCATAAATGTTGTATAGGTAGGTATTGCTATATTTTATGATACAACTAGCTGTGCCTGTGACTTTGTACCTGTCTAATCATCGTTATCTAATTAAGTCAGATTATAGGCTGACAAGAGTTCACAATTTTATGGTCATATACAAACTACTATGTGCCTTCATAATTAGGGAATATGCATCAGGAATAAAGTTTATAAAAGATTCTTATAAGTATTACTTTGCATTCAGTGAAATCAGACTTGATATAAAAGAAATACTCACAGGATCCACAAAATCCATATTTAATCCATAGCAAAGCTTTTTGATTCTTGATGTAATCTTGTCTATATGAACCTCCTCCATTCTACCTCCTGAAAATTAGATTTTACATTTTGTTGTTTCTAACCACTATTAATCTAAAACACTTCTTTAAACTCACTCAGAATTATATTATGTCCGGTTTCGGGCTATACAAAATACAAATAGAACCCACTTTTTATTTCTGGCCCCGTAGGTAATCATTAAAGTTATTATGCTTGTAACGGATTGAAGTCAAGTAAAAAGTGGTTTAGATAATATTTTAATGAAATTTTCTACAGATAGAAGTAGTAACAAAAAACTATTTCATTTGGTTACATCAGCTTTGCTTACCTCTCTTCAGAACGTAAAGTTTATTTGTCTTTCCCACCATAATTATAACGTGTCAATTACTTGAAGACTTTATAATTAAACTTAAATCAAATGCAAGCGTCTTTTTTCAGGAACAAAGCCTAGAAGACAAGATTTCAATCCAGTTCGTCGAGCACCTGCCTGCTGTTCTTCTTTGGTTCCGCCGTCGGATTGACATTAAAATAAGCGGGAAAAATTACCGAACTCAACCAATGGGAGCGTTTGGGCGAAAATAGAATTTGTTAAAAAAATGTTAGGAAAATGGCGATCGCCATGGCGCCACATAAAGGAATTAACGACAATTCCTCTATGCGACGCCATGGCAACCGCCGAAAACTTTAGCATGTTTTCGGCGAGGACATTGACGTTTTTCCTTTTTTTAGCAGTGATAGCACATAAAATATAGTTCCAAAATACTGGACTGTCCTGTCGATGACAGTGACAGCGGGGCGCCACCGTCAATACCGGATCGCTGGTTCAGATTTTTGCCATGTTGGAAACCATATAGTTGAACGATGGTAGCGCCCCCCTGTCATTGAGTTTGGTGGGACAGTTCAGCGTGGGTCATCTATACCACTAAAAGAACGCCATTTTGGTGGATTTTACTGCGACTGCGCGAAAGTTATCCAAGTCAAGTCAAAGAACAGTGGGGTTGTGGGGATGAAATAGGTATGAATGATTTTCATCCCCACTCCACTGTTTTTTTTGAAAATGTGCCCTTTCTCTTAATAGCGCTAACAATGCTATTTTCGGCCAAACGCCTCCAACCAATGAGATAGTAATACCAATAGACTGAACCAATGTGCTATAGTTTCATGGTTGTGCTTCTGAAGCTATAGATAAAAATGGAGACCACACTCCGAATACCTACTTGAAGCACAACCTTTGTATCACTATCTCGCTCTCTGTGGACAGACTCTCTCTTTCAAAATAAACAAAAAATAAAAATTTGCTAAAAGTCAATGAAACTCAATGTAAAATCTTTATTTCTGGACATAGGTTAGGTATCATTAAATGATAAGTGCAAATACTGGTAAAACGTTTTAGGAAGAAATTACTGTGAAAAATGTTTACAATGATCCAATGTCGGAAATCACGAAATTTACACTTACGCGTGGAATCTTAAGTCATTTCCAGGACACCACGTATGTTAAAAAAAATGTTGCAACATTTCTTGTGATAAAACAATGATGATGTCCTGTAAAAAATCTCAAACGAAATTAACTGCATAATAAACAAAATAGTAAACAACGCCATGATGGGCCGGATTGGGCCGATGTTGCCACATGGTACCGATTTCCCAGGAATTGGGATTGTAATTTCCTGATTCGCCAACTCATTAAGCCTAAACGGCCGACAATTTTGTGATTTTTAATTTAACTAGGTAATCGTAGTGCAAATATTTAATTATTTATTTGTTTAACTTCTGATTTGGTTAGTGAATTGGCTATTTCGAAGAATTTACTAGGTGATTTCAATAAGAAGATAGCAATACATTAAAAAGAGAGGTCGGCCCACAGAGAGCGAGATAGAGATAAGTAGGTATTTGACTCAAGTTGTTGTTCCAAGTGTGGCCTCCTTTTTATCTTTAGCTTCATGGCTTCAAGTAGGTATTCGGAGTGTGGCCTCCATTTTTGTAGCTTCATGTGTGCTTCGTTTATTACATTTTTTGCATTTTCCGTTCATTTTGATTAAGCGGTAGCCGTTGTGGGTAGAGATGNGGGAATAGAGCAACAAAGAACTGAGCGAGCGAGATGTCACTAGTAGCAACACTGTAAAACAGAACTTTTTGGAACTATTTGAAGTTTAATAACTTTACGGATATCATTGATTGTTTTACTGTCCAGTTTGTTTTTTGATTACATCTGTGCATAGAGTTTGTTTCATGTTCTCGAAAATTTCATAATCAGTTCACATTCAATGTTGCGACTTTGTTGCATATTTTTAGTATTTTGACGATCACCCGGCGATGATACGCAAGTATGTATTACAATAATTTCACTTCGCGATTAACGAGAGGTTTTTTCGCATCACTAGTTCACAGACAAAAAATATTTTTATGTCAGTTGGCCATGTTTGATGACATTTCTGCTGATTTCTAAAAAATTTAACGACAATTCCTCTATGCGGCGCCATGGCAACCGCCGAAAACTTTAGCATGTTTTCGGCGAGGACATTGACGTTTTCCCTTTTTTTAGCAGTGATAGCACATAAAATACCACTAAACGAACGCCATTTTGGTGGATTTTATTGCGACTGCGCGAAAGTTAACCAAGTCAAGTCAAAGAACAGTGGGGTTGTGGGGATGAAATAGGTATGAATGATTTTCATCCCCACTCCACTGTTTTTTTTGAAAATGTGCCCTTTCTCTTAATAGCGCTAACAATGCTATTTTCGGCCAAACGCCTCCAACCAATGAGATAGTAATACCAATATAGTTCCAAAATACTGAACTGTCCTATCGATGACATTGACAGCGGGGCGCCACCGTCAATACCGAATCGCTGGTTCCGATTTTTGCCATGTTGGAAACCATAAAGTTGAACGATGTCATTGAGTTTGGCGGGACAGTTCAGCGTGGGTCATCACCAATGTGCTATAGTTTCATGGTTGTGCTTCAAGCATGAAGCTATAGATAAAAATGGAGGCCACACTCCAAATACCTACTTGAAGCACAACCTTTGTATCACTATCTCGCTCTCTGTGGGCAGACTCTCTCTTTCAAAATAAACAAAAAATAAAAATTTTCAATGAAACTCAATGTAAAATCTTTATTTCTTGACATAGGTATCATTAAATGATAAGTGTAAATACTGGTAAAACGTTTTAGGAAGAAATTACTGTGAAAATTTTTTACAATGATCCAATGTCGGAAATCACGAAATTTACACTTACGCGTGGAATCTTAAGTCATTTCCAGGACACCACGTACTACCGCAACCACGCACTAAAAAATTTTGCAACATTTCTTGTGATAAAACAATGATGATGTCCTGTAAAAAATCTCAAACGAAATTAACTGCATAATAAACAAAATAGTAAACAACCGCCATGATGGGCTGGATTGGGCCGATGTTGCCACATGGTACCGATTTCCCAGGAATTGGGATTGTAATTTCCTGATTCGCCAACTCATTAAGCCTAAACGGCCGACAATTTTGTGATTTTTAATTTAACTAGGTAATCGTAGTGCAAATATTTAATTAAGTATTTATTTGTTTAACTTCTGATTTGGTTAGTGAATTGGCTATTTCGAAGAATTTACTAGGTGATTTAATTCAATAAGAAGATAGCAATACTACAGTCCACATTAAAAAGAGAGGTCGGCCCACAGAGAGCGAGATAGAGATAAGTAGGTATTTGACTCAAGTTGTTGTTCCAAGTGTGGCCTCCATTTTTGTAGCTTCATGTGTGCTTCGTTTATTTTACATTTTTTGCATTTTCCGTTCATTTTGATTAAGCGGTAGCCGTTGTGGGTTGCCATTTTTGCTAAAAAAATTTGTTATGCTATTTTCCGCCACACGCAGCCAAATACTTGAACAATATAAACTGAATACTTGGCTGTATACCATAATAACTTTGCCTTTTCCTAAAAACGAAAGAATCGAAAAAGAAACTCGTTCTGTTCTGTCAAAGTGACAATAGATGTCAACTTGTCAAGTGTCAACTGTCAAGTTAAAAAAATAGAAATTCGTCTATTTCTTTTGTGTCTGCCTGTGAATAATCCAATTTAATCCCCATTAATAAAAGCGGTTTCAAAAAATTTAAGATACAAAAAATGGCACCAAAAGCTGGTGGTGATTCTGCGAAGGTTAATTCTGCTGTCTACAAAGATAAAAGTAAACCGACAGATATACGCCAGAGTAATATCAATGCCGCTAAAGGTATCAAAACATCTGTTTCTTTTTATCGAAATTAATAATTGTATAGGCTCTTAAAAGTGTATACTAATTACCTATTCAATAGCATTCAATCTAAACTTTATTTTTCATAAAAATAAAACTAATATCATTTTTATAAACTTATCTTTTGTCGTATTACGATGACTAATAAACTTAACATCGATCTAGTTTTTCTTTACTAATTATCTGTTATATCATAAAATAACCCTGTAACCTTTTTTCCAGCCGTATCAGATGCCATTCGAACTAGTTTGGGACCCCGTGGTATGGATAAGATGGTTAGTATTTTGTCTAATTATTATGATAGTAATCTATATATATAAAAATGAAACCCGTTTCGCGTTGTCACGGCATCACGTGTGAACGGCTGAACCGATTTCGATAATTCTTTTTTTTAAATGTTTGTGGAAGTCCAAGGATGGTTCTTACGGAAAAAAATATTAAGAAAATCTCTACGCTAAGGCGGTACGAAGTTCGCCGGGTCAGCTAGTTTTCAATAAATAGTTAGGTATACAATCATGACTTACTGATGATTATCATGACTTTCTATTCAAAAATTAACAATATAAAGGTAATTGATAAAATTAATCCTCAATTCATTTACAGATCCAAGCAGCCAATGGGGAAGTGACTATTACTAATGATGGAGCTACTATCTTGAAGCAAATTAGTGTTGTCCATCCTGCAGCCAAAATGGTAATAAATTAATTAATTTAACAGCCATAATAGTTTTTGTTTTTTTATTTAATATTCTCATCAGATGTCCCATCTTTTCTCCATAATAATGTTTTGGTTTGTGTTCAAGCTGGTTGAGCTGTCCCGTGCACAAGACATAGAAGCTGGAGATGGGACTACATCAGTTGTTGTGATTGCTGGAGCTTTACTGGATGCTGCTGAGAAGTTACTGCAGAAGGGTATACACCCTACAGTGATATCTGATGGCTTCCAAAAAGCCTTGCAACTAGCTTTACAGGTAAACAATTCAGTTGTGACTGTGCATAATAATAATACTTAATAATTTTATATGAACTGCTTTCTATTTATTTATTATGGTAAAATAGCATAATAACTTTAATTTTTCTGATACATTTTCTTTTTAAATATTATTTTCATAAATTTTAATGCCACTTGTGGTCTAAACTGAATAAATATTTTTGATTTTGATTAGATTTTTTATTATTATATTTTATTATAACACAAGTTTTCTTAGAGATGTGTGAATTATTTCAATTTCATTAATGTTTATGTAGGTGGTGGAAGGCATGTCTACTCCTGTGGATCTGGCAAATGAAGATGCTTTACTAAAAGCTGCTGCAACATCCCTTAATTCAAAAGTTGTGTCACAACACTCAACTATTCTAGCACCAATAGCTGTACAAGCGATCCGTGCAGGTATGTACAGTTATTTAAGCCTTGTAAACATTTCATACATTCATAAGCCAGCATATTATGTCCAATATTGGACATAAGCTCATAATTGAATCAGTATCTTTGTATCAAGAAAAGTTACATTTGCTGATATAGTAACCATAAACGCAGGCAACAATTTGATGCATGTCCCTCATGAACGCCCTTTTTATTGTTTTTACATAAAACAATTATCAACAGTTATGGACCCTATACCTGGAGGTGTTGGTGCGCGAGTAGACTTGCGTGATGTGAAAGTTATTGAGCGGATTGGTGGAACCATAGAAGACACTGAACTGATCCAAGGGCTGGTCATCCCTCATCGTGCTTCTAATGTAAATGGTCCTCATCGCATAGAAAAGGCTAAAGTTGGACTTATCCAGTTTTGCATTTCACCGCCTAAAACTGACGTAAGTGTTTGTGTACACTTTTTTAAAAGCATATTTAATCATAGAAACCTGTTATCAAGTTATCAGAATACAAATTAAATAAAAATAATATACATTTCAGATGGATCACAATGTTATTGTATCAGACTATGCTGCAATGGACCGTGTGCTAAAAGAGGAACGTCAGTACATTTTAAATATTGTCAAGCAGATTAAAAAAGCTGGTTGTAATGTTCTGTTAGTGCAGAAATCAATCTTAAGGTAATTTCACCAATTAATATTAGAATAGTTTTCTTTCTGTATACCTTTATTTACGCCCAGTGAGCTCACTATCCAATACTTATACTTAGCACCCACCACCACCACCACAAGCACCTTGGCTAGATAATATTTGCTTTCCAATTTATTACTGCTTTTGTAATATTTTTGTTTGTTGTTTAATTTCAGAGATGCTCTTAGTGATTTGGCTATTCATTTCCTTGATAAGATAAAAACCATGGTCATCAAGGACATTGAACGTGAAGACATTGAGTTCGTTTGCAAGACTTTGGGATGTCGTCCGATAGCCTCACTTGACCACTTTACAGCAGAAAATTTGGTAAACGTGGACTTGGTTGAAGAAATCAATGAACCTGTTGGAAAGTACATCAAGGTAAACTTCTATAATCATTTGTTCATTCATGATTAAATAGAAAACATTTCATTTGCATCAGTAACATTAGAAGCCCCGAACATTATTTTCATATCCTTTGAAACACCACACCAACAGTCTAGTGTGTCATGAACCCACTGCAGTTCAACGGCAAGAGCATAGTATCAGTTAGGGCTTGCAATATCGGATAGTTTTCAACTCCGGAACTGATTTCCGATATTGGGCACTCAGCTCCGGAATTCCGGTTCTAGTTCCGGAGTTGGTTAAAAAAAGAAAGCGCTTCCCGACAAACACGTACACGTATGTGACCTCCACTTTAGAACCTTGCCCCATCGGCCGTCTCTGTTCTACGTACTATGTGCCCTGCCCATTGCCACTTTAGCTTGGTAATCCGATCGCTATAATAATATGTCAGGCAACTTTAGTTCGTTTACGAATCTCCTCATTTCTGGTTCGATCTCGAAAAAAAACACCGAGCATAGCACTCTCCATACCATGGTGTGCAACTTTGAGCTTATTATAAGGCCTTATAGTAAGAGGCCACGTTTCCGAACAGTGTGTCATCACTACTGGTAACACACACTGATTGTAGACTTTCGTCTTTAGGCACTGAAGTGTTTTGGTCGAAAAGATGTTATGTAGTTTCCCGAACGCTGCCCAGCCGAGTTGAATTCGACGTATTATTACATCTCCCTGCCTCACAGCTCGCTGCAGAGNTCCAGCGGCGCCGTGGTGGCGGAGGCGGCGCGCTCGCTGCACGACGCGCTGTGCGCCGTGCGCTGCGTGGCGCGCCGGCCCGCGCTGCTGCCCGGCGGCGGCGCGCCAGAGGCGGCGGCCGCGGCCAGCCTCGCGCGCGCCGCCATCGCCGCGCCCGGCGCCGACCACTACTGCCTGCGCGCCTACGCTGACGCGCTCGAGGTCGTGCCGTCGACCCTCGCCGAGAATGCTGGTGAGTGCTATTTTATTCAGTTTATAATATACTGGCCTTTGTAGCCAGTCTCTACTCCACTTTGTAGGTAGAGACACCAAGTTTTGCCAACATGTTTAAAAGACAATGCCGGAAATTGGCGTCTTTTTTTTTTCGCGCGGCCATCGACCAAACTTTGTTTTTTGATTACAAAATAGTGTAATAAACCAAACTTACTATGACATGTATACCTCTAAACTCAGTCTGAACTGAGTTACAAGCATTAGAAGTTTGATGATTTTCATACTAGATTTGCTTTTTGCGCGCAAAGTTTTGTAAGAAATGGCAATGCCAGATTTTGTATGGAAGGTGGCGTCTTTTTTTTTCGCGCGGCCATCGACCAAACTTTGTTTTTTGATTACAAAATAGTGTAATAAACCAAACTTACTATGACATGTATACCTCTAAACTTAGTCTGAACTGAGTTATGAGCGTTAGAAGTTTGATGATTTACATACTAGATTTGCTTTTTGCGCGCAAGTTTTGGTAAGAAATTGCAACAAAATATTCCGCTATTTTTTTATTGCGCTGATGCTACTCCACACTGACGTCTGGAGCTTTTAATGGATGGTATTGTTTGTTTACACATACAATGTCACTATTTTGTTGCAATGTCATACAAAACTTGCGCGTAAAAAGCCAATCTAGTATGTAAAATTATCAAACTTCTAATGCTCGTAACTCAGTTCAGACTGAGTTTAGAGGTATACATGTCATAGTAAGTTTGGTTTATTACACTATTTTGTAATAAAAAAATAAGGTTTGGTCGATGGCCGCGCGAAAAAAAAAAGACGCCATTTTCCGGCATTGTCTTTGCAACAAAATAGTGAGATTGTATGTGTAAACAAACAATACCATCCATTAAAGGCTCCAGACATCAATATGGAGCAGAATCAGCGCAATAAAAAAATAGCGCAATATTTTGTTGCAATTTCTTACAAAACTTGCGCACAAAAAGCAAATCTAAATCGCGCGAAAAAAAAAGACGCCACTTTCCATACTAAATCTGGCATTGCCATTTTATCCTTGCAAAGCTTTTGGCACGAGTCCCGACTGGGACAATTTGGAAACGAAAAATATGATACAAATGCGGATTACAACACCTATCGTGATAAGCCGTCTTCAGGTTTATCTGTGGCTGTAGTCAGTTCATTGATTGATTTGAGAGATAATCCTATTCGGACCGTTCGTTATCTGCCAGCACTATTGTCGCCACTGCATTCCACTCGTTGTTTCTATTATGATTTCAGAATTCTATTAACCTTTTGATGGAATAAGAACATGTAGTCTCATGAGTGGCGTAATTATGCCATCCGAGGCCCGTGGCAAATTCTGTGCATGGGGCCCTTGGCGTATGTAGGTCCAAGGACCTTGGGTTATTTTTCAGGGGGGGGGCCGGGATCATCGCCCTAAGCATCGCGGTTGGGTTTACGCTTAGGGTCTTGGGCCGGGGCCCCTTCGAGTCGGGGGCCCGTAGCATTTTGCCAGCCCTGCCACCCTATAGTTATGCCACTGAGTCTGATTGGCTACCTAAGTAAACTCCGACAAACGTTACTTCGACACTACTGAATATCGACATGACTGTACTTTGATACTACACTACTCGGACAAAGGATATTCGCCTTAATACTTAATCTTGAAAAAAAAAAAAATATATTCGCCTTTGTCTAGAGTAGTGTAGTGTCGAAGTAAAGTCATGTCGATATTCAGTTGTGTCAGAGTTCAGTTTATGAGCCAGTCTGATTAACTTATCTATCACCATTGAAATTCTCTTATTCATTAATCACACTCATGTTCATCGATGCACAGGGCTGAGCCCCATCGAGACGGTGACGGAGTTGCGCGCGGCGCACGCGGCGGGCGCGGAGAGCGGCGCGTGGTCGGGCGCGGGCGTCAACGTGCGGCGCGGCCGCGTCACCGACATGCGCCACGAGCACGTGCTGCAGCCGCTGCACGTCACCGCCTCCGCGCTCGCGCTCGCCACCGAGACCGTGCGCGCCATACTCAAGATCGATGACATCGTAAGTCACGGACTGCCACTTACACCTAACACCACTATAGTACTTTACTGCCTTTTTAGTGTAGGTTGCACGAGAAGGAAATGGATGAATTTTGAGTCATGCATGAGTGGACTTGCACTTGTCTGAATGTCAAATGTATTTCTTCTACATTTAACTATTGGAGATGATTATGTATTGTTTCTGTATTGTTTCATTCAAATATTTTCTAAAACGGCTTCCCTACATTTTTTTTACTGTGACGCCCCCACAAATCTTTTTGGGCTCAAGTTTGGAAATTTCGACACATCTCTCTCTGCATTTATTTTCGATCGCCTCCCAACGCCCGCGTCCTTGGGATAAGGTCGAGAAGCCCTGTTCTAATAATTTTATTATTAGCTAAGAAATAATAATTAATTTGTAGTGATTAACATTTCTTAGCATTTAGAGTTGCTACTCAAACTAATTAAAAATAACTTGAAAAAATCGAACTACCTAAGGCGAGAAATTATTATAGAATTATAATTAAAATTATAGAATATATAGAAATTATGATTGCAACATACTTATTGTTTTCTTTTTTGTTTCAGGTGAATACATTGAATTAACAACTTGATGACCATTATTCTTCTTTTAGCTGATAGAAATTTGAAACAGCATTTATTGTGTCTTAATGCTTCCGTCTAATACTATCAATGTAATATCTATAGATGGATAGGTGACTGTCTACCAAGGAACATTATTAATTTAATATATTAATGTCACAATGTAAGATAAATACATTAATTTTGTGCTTTTATTTGATTATATTTCGCACGTATATTATCTGCGGGCTTAAACCTTCACTAATTATTAGTTTGTTCGAAATAAAGTATTAATATCCAAATATTGTCACTTATTTTATTATCCTACTAATATTATAATTGCGAAAGTTTGGATATCTGGATGTTTGTTACTCTAACGCAAAAACTGCTGAACGGATTTTGATGAAACTTTACTGTATTATTGTTTGTAACCCAGAATCGTGGGTCTGAAGTGTAGTAGTTTAACGAGACCCACGTCACCAGGGGTATCATGGGTCTGCAGTACGAAAAAGCGTGCGGTGCGCCCGCGCAGGCCCTTTACCGGCGCTATACCTGTAGGTTCCTCTTCTTGACAGTTTGTTGTAGGTACATCAAACTATTAGAGATGAATTCTTATGGATATTTATTTCAAAATATATTTTGTGAAATAAAAAGCTATCTTTAACTACAAGTTGTACATATTTATTTATCGTTGATAAGGATGTATCTGGTTAGCAGATTTTATGTTGGTCTTGATGGCTGATGGTGCTTTAGGCAACGTCGGTGCTGCCGGTCCGGGTTGCGGGGTAGGCCCGCGCGATGGACCCATGCCCATAGGACCAACACCAGCCGGGACTATTGCAGGCATTCCAGGTCGCAGCCCTTTGCCAGTCCCTACAGCTGTCACCAATGCATGCGTGTCGGCGAGGATATGAGTAGGTTGCATACCTGTCAACAAGAACAAATCAAATAGATACTCAGGTGTAATAAATTAAAAATAATCTAACCCAAATATTATCTCAATAGAATTAGGTTATAGGACATCACAATGAAACAACCTTAAGCCAAATTGGGTAGGTCCCCCATAGGTGATAGTTTTAAAGAAAATTACAACATACCTACATTAAAATTTGAAGAATAACAACAAAAGAACAATAATTCCTTTCATTAGTCGGCCGTTTGGTGTAGTGGTTCAGAACGGACTACTATGCCGAGAGGTCCCGGGTTCGATTCCCGGCCGGGCAGAAATTGAAATGATGAATTTTAATTTCTGTGACAGGTCTGGGTGTGACTATGTATAATATGTATGTATTTAAAAAAAAAAAAGTATATAAGTAGTATATCCGTTAAGCTAGCACCCATAACAAGCATTAAGTTGCTTACTTTGGGGCTAGCTGGCGCTGTGTGAAATTGTCCAAAGATTTATTTATTAGGTAATAACTAGAAATTAGATTACTGAACTGTTTTTGTATGTGTATATCAATGTGTGCGCAATTACCTGCTGCTCTCATGGATTCTCCTTCCCAGTCCTCGCGACCCTTGGATATAATTTCCCATACATGACTAACCACTTTAGCAAATTGAGCCACTTGTTTCTGTAATTAAATAAAATTGACAAAAAAAATACATAATCATCTATAGACTCACATTATTTTTCATAAATTAAATGCTCAATCTATATTAGATAGGTGAATATTCCAACATTGACACATACATTTACAATTTGGTCAAAACAGTGTTTATGAAAGTGATAACCTGATGATTGTTTTATTTAAAAAATTGTTGTGGTTTTAATATCTTTTTGTAACTTTACCTGTGCTGTGTCATAGCTAAGTGTGCTAGCTTTATGATTAAATTGCTGAAGCCTTTGCTCAGCTTGTGGTTCAGGCTTTGTTCGTAGTAAATCTGGAACTAGATCATGGGTACATGCTGGCACCCTCCCTTCTGTCAGTCTAGCCAATGCCTCATCTCGTTCACAGCCCAGTTGAAGTGGTAAAACAATACGAGAACGCAAGGACATTGCTATTTCTGCTTGTAAAATTTTACTCAATCCAGTAAGCTAGAAATAAACAGTAGTAACTAGTTAACATAAAAATATATAGTTTTTATAAGAAAATAATAACAGAATCTTTTATTTACTTACATGTCCAGATAGAATAGCATAATTATCTAGGAAAGTAGGCCAGTTTATAGTTTCATATTCAGTTTCTAATTTTGTAATGAGAGCCTGTATTGCACCTTTCAAATCATTCACTCTATTTAATATAGCTTGTATAGTAGCCTCTAATTGTTTTTCTTCTCGTTGTTGCATATTCATGTTCATGTTCATTGTGGGAGCCTTAGGTGGGAGCAAACTAAATATAATTATTGTATATTTTATTTGTTAGTGTTAATGTGACATGAAATAACCAAAAGATATTATTTATCACAATCCAATCGAGAATATAGAATAATTTAATAACAATTCCATAAAATTCACAAAACTAAAATGCTGATGATAGTGCCTGCTGCCTGACGCTTTTTTTGATAATAAAAATGACAGACAGACAGACATGTTTTTTTTATTTGTCAGTTTGATAGTGATGTGCACACTAAAGTCTAATCAAATTAGATATCGATAATCGATTTTTAGATTATCAAGACAATTTTACATTGACATAGTAATGTAGAGAGAAAGCAAAACTGCAAAGTATATAGCTGTAAGTATGCAATCGGCTGACAAATATTTCGAGTAGTCAATCATTTTTCAGCTGATTGCCTTACGATTTGGGAAAGGAACATGGCGGCAATGCCTGTTGCGGCCATGTTCCTTTCCCAAATCGTATATGTACCAAACCAAGCACGTTTATTTTAAAGGTTTGCCCGGTCCATAGAGTATACGTCAATACTGTCGACTGTCAACCACAGCTGTCCTACTGTCCTGTCAATAGTGTCATTGTCAATCAATTTTAGGAGGAGGAAGGAAAGGAACTTTTCTCTATGAAAGGAACGAACTTGTAAAATTTTTGGAGTTCAAGTGGAAATAGTGATTAATAAATTGATTTAATTGAATTTATTACGAGCACCATGGACGAGATCGAAGAAGAGGCCAAGGCAGCTGCAGAAAAAATGGTTATGAATATGATGCAAAGGCCTGGACAACTTGAAAAAGTACGTTTAAAGTACTTCTAAACACAGATTTAATATTATTTAAACCTTATCAGTAATAAATAATTGCAGTGGAAACTATTATCACTTACATTCTTTTGAATTTTATAATTTTTTTGTGTAATTGGGGATGTACTGTAGGTAATTTGCGCCACTTTATACATGTACTTACTTTCTGACTGAAGTTTTAGAGTTGCTTTGAGTTTTCTTTAGTTGCCGCTCCACACATTGATTGCCTATTACGTACTTACTGTCCTATGGTCTTGAGACTAGTTGAGTTGAGTTCTATTTTGATCTATGTCATAATAATTCAATTGACCTTAAATAGGTATGTGAGATAATTAAAGCTGTCTCATCATGATTTGGGTTCACAAAACATGCACTCTCAATTATTATGCTGTTTGTTTGTTTTAGGTTGAGCACTATAAAAAGAGAATTACCCATAAAAAAGCTTCAATTGAAGCTCAGTTGAAGTCAGCAGTCCAAGGAAAGCTGGATGGCGTCAGTGTTGGTCTTAAACAGTTGCAGGAATGTCTGGACGATGTTCAGGAAATTAGTGTAAAGTAAGACTTCTCAGTAGTTAAGTTATTTTTTAGTCTTTATCATAATAATATTGTATCATTACCAACATTGATCTGGAATTCTTCTATCATCCTGAAAATAAAATGTTTTAGTCGAATTTGTTTAAAACATACAGATTATGGATCAACAATAATATTTATATTTTGTATAGGTAGTATAGGACCTTCCATTTTTTTTTTATGTTTGATATTGAGTATAATATAATATAGTAAACCCTGTAAATGTTTAATTTGATGTTTCTATAATAACTGTTACTCATAACAAAGATAAAAGTATAGAATACAGCTTAAAATGGTCACTTTGTAAATTAAAATAGTATTACATGACAACTACCGACTAATGAATTATTAATTTAGTAATCATTCATAATTTAGGATGGATGAATTAGAGGAGCTGTTAAAAGGAGTTCCTCCTCTTGTTGCGTCCCTGCAAGCTGTGAGGGAGGAGGACTCCCGGCACTCGCAGTACGTCACTGCCATGGACAGCTTGAAGCACATCTTCACAGTCCCTGAAAGTGTTGCCAAAACAAAGCAATGGATTGGAGAAGGAAAACTGTTACATGCCCACCAGGTAATAAAGTTGCATGTGACTCAATGTAAATGTTTTGTTTCAGAGCCATTCTTTGATCCATAAATTGGTTTTCAAAATATTAATTTGTTCAAGGTGTTCAAAGCATCCATCCAAGAATAATGTGTTTATATCTTCATGTTCACCTATAAGTATACTTTATTTACTTTATACATAGACATTAGTTTTATTAAAAGTTTTTATTTTTAGTGCTTGAATGATTTGGAGAACTCTAGAGATGATTTGTTATATGAATTACATAGATTGCCAAACCAGTCATCACATGACAAAATTATGTTGAAAGCATACTTTGAAGATGTAGAAATGGTTTCAAATCTACTTGAAAAACAAATAAAGCTTATTTTGGCAAGAACTTTGAATACTGTTCGTAAAGAGCCCACTGTTATTGTGACTGCATTAAGAATTATTGAGAGGGAGGAGAAAAGAGATCAAATGGCTTTACAGGTTTGTATCATTTTAAAACTAAGTCTATTAGTTATGTGCATTGCTTTCTTCAATAAAAATAAACAAAAAAGTAGGACTACATGGTTTTTTATGCACATTTTATCCATTGTGTGTATTTTTGTAATGGCATATTGTTTTTCAACTCTGTAGTTTATTTGTCATCCTTTACCCCAAATAATTACTGATTATTGTGCAGTTTCAATAATGTTGTATGTTTTTGTATTTTATAATGATTTTGTATTTACAGCAACAGTCTCAAACTGGTTTTATGCCGCCTGGTCGCCCTAAGAACTGGCGCACCAAGGCTTTTGAGGTGTTAGAATGTGCCGTCGCCCAACGTATAGAGGGAACCCGGGTGGACGAGCGAGAGGACAATAAGCTGTGGCTGGTTCGCTACCTCGAGTTGACGAGACAACTCATTTTAGAAGACTTGAGAGTCGTTAAAACGCTCTGTGTACCGTGCTTCCCGCCGCACTATGACATAGTCAATAAATATGTAAACATGTACCACACATGTCTGTCGTCCAGTGTAAGTGTTTAGTAATTTAAAAAATAATTTAAAATAGGGAATTAACTAGACAGTTTGGCCATCACGCGTCGTCGCGTTGCGCCCTTTCTCCAGTAGAGTCTTTCTCCTTTATCAAAACTACTCTACTACTATAAAACGAAACAGTTAGTATTAAGATTATGGCGTAACATAATAATATGTTAAATTATACATTTTCGTTTGCAGCTACAAGATGTAGTTCAGACTGGTATAGAGGGCAATGAATATGTTACTTTGCTATCTTGGATTCTGAACACATATCCTGGGCACGAGTTGATGGGAAGCTTGCAACTTAACATTGATGTTTCCAAACTGCCTCCTTTGCTCAGTGAAGAAATTATGCAAAAACTACAAGATGAATACTTGCAGGTACTTATTGTATGATGTGATGATTGTAATAAAATTGTAAGTTAACTTAAAAACTTATTGTTATGCAATATGTGTACAGAAAATGGAATCAAACTACATGGAATGGATGGAGAAAACTCTCGAGTCGGAGCGAGCAGAATGGAGCGGACAAAGGGCCCCCGAAGTGGAGCCGCACTCTAACGCCTACCACACGCATGCACCCGTCATTATTTTCCAAATGATTGATCAAAACTTGCAGGTAAATATGGAATCAAAAATAGCTTTTTTGTTATGAAAAAAATTATAGTTACATACTCATGTTATGTTAGACAGGGACAGACAGAATCTAATAGGTACTACGTCGTTTCTTTGAATTTTCAAATATCAAGGGAAATTCAATAGCCTCAAAAGACTGGCAATATTTACGAATTATTATTTTCAGGTGACAGAAACAATAAGCAAAGAAATAACATTTAAAGCACTGCTGCTAAGTATAGATCAAGTTACTCGATATGGAAATATGTATAGGGAAGGCGTTATACAATTTAAGGTTAGTAATTTTTGCTATTGCATAATATAGTGTTTATAATGCCAACTTACAGGGGTGAATTTTTACAAGTATTTTTAATTTTTAGAACAGCCATTTCGCTGATCGTTCCCGCGTGGCGTACTTCACGCATCACATGATCACGATCGTGAACAACAGCGAGCAGATGGCGCGCCTGGCGCAGCAGACGCAGGCGCGCCACTGGCCGCCCGGCCGCCACGACCCGCCCGCCGAGGCCAAGTTCGACAAGATGCTCGGCACCTTCCAGGTACGGACTATGTGACTAGTGCTGCGTGTACACGTGATCACTACAGTGAACAACAGCGAGCAGATGGCGCCACTGGCCGCCCGGCCGCCACGACCCGCCCGCCGAGGCCAAGTTCGACAAGATGCTCGGCACCTTCCAGGTACGGACTATGCCGTGACTAGTGCTGCGTGTACCACGTGATCACTACAGTGAACAATAGCGAGCAGATGGGGTGTGTAATGTATGATATAACTACATATCATATAATACTTAGAGGNCGCCACTAGCCGCCCGCCGAGGCCAAGTTTAACAAGATGCTCATCACCTTCTAAGTACGGACTGACTGAGCTAGCTGACTGTGGCGTGACAAATACTGCATGTATCACGTAATCTCCACAGAACAAGCGCGAGAGGCTTGGCCAAGTTTAGTAATGTTAGTAAGAGAAGTAAAAACTGTAGTAACGTAATGTACAAAACCAGTTGCATTGCACAACAGTCGGTAGATGGCGCCACCGGCCACCTGACAACTACGACCCGTCTGCTGAGACCAAGTTCGACAAGATGTTCAGCATTTTCCAGGTAAGAAAGCTGCGGCGCGATGAGTACTGCACGCACCACGTGACTATTAGAGTAATCAACAGGCACAGCGAGCAGATGTCGCCACTACTAGTCGCCCGGCCGCCATGATCCGCGCGACAATAATATAATATTATACTCAGCAGTTCTATGTATGGACCACGTGACCACTATATTTTAGAAACGGAAAGCCTAAGCCAAGTTTGGTACAATGAAGATAAGTAAAAACTACTTAATAAAAGTAGAAATGCACTAACGGAACCACTACATTGAACAAAAGCTAGTAGATGGCGCCACTGCCTACCTGGTTTCAATAACCGGTCGAACCGGGGCTAAGTTTTGAAAGATACAACACAATCCAGGTATCAACAAATACACAATAGTCAAATATTAGCACGAAGGTTTTATGTGTATGGGTTATGTGATTTTAATGAACAGTGAAAGAAATACCCTCTAACTTTATTTTATATCTTAAGCAAAATAATTAATCATATCGGAACCAGGCTCATAATAATCTCATAAAAGTATATGAAGTGGCGCTGCCATTTAGTATTCTACAGACTTTTGCAGAATATTGAGGGGTGGGATTTATGACAATATATTTTCATTCTTGCGCATTTCATCCCACGCACTGTGCTGAATTTTGATGAGATGAACGTCGCCGCTAAACGTATATGCCATTCAGCATCTGGCTATTACCGAAATTAATTTTGTCTAGAATATTCCGAATGAAAATAATTGTAGAATAAGTATAGGATAGATATTTAATTAATTATTTTATTTCAGAATTTACGGGACGAAGCTGCAAGATTCCTTCTCGAAGAAGCATTCTTAGACTTAGAAGTACACTTCGATTCGCTATTCACGTCGAAGTGGCTACCTTCTAGCATCCCAGTTGATACCATTTGCATTACCCTCGATGACTATTTTCAAGATTACAACCATTTGAGAGATAAAAACTTCGAATATGTTATAAATGAGGCGCAAAATCTTGTTTACAAGAAATATATTACAGCGATGTTATCAAAGAAAGTAGTTTTCAAGACTGTCGAAGAAGCTCAGCAAGCAGCCACGAAAATTGTGAAAGAGGCGAACCAAATTAGATCGTTCTTCAAAAAGATCGCGCCTGAAGTTGTGAACGTAGACTGGCCGTTCGAAGTCATCAGCATGTTAGCTGAGGTAAGCTGTTTATTATATTCTGAATCATGAATTGTTGTATTCTGTGCATAAATTGGGATTGCAAGCATTACTTGAAATATTCATGTTCAATGAAATGCTAGATTAACTTTCAAAAACTACATCAATTATTTTATCTTACAGTTTTATGAATTATTGTGAAAAAAATGTTAATGTGCATTAACGGTTTTGACCGGCAATGTNAGTCGGTTTTACCGCGATTCGAATTTGTCACTAAAGTCATTTATAAGTCAAGCTAAAAAAGAACATACTTAAAGTTATATCTATCAGAAATTATATCGATTAAAGAGTATAACAAATAATATTTATTACAAGTAATGGTTATGTGAAATAATATTTATATTAAACAAAATTACATCAAATGAGTCTTAGATTAAGTAAGGTTTATATCAAATGTCTTTATGCGTTGTGAATGGTATCTGAAATGATATTATTAGAAATTATTTATTATATGAAGTAAACATTATATGTTAAAAAATTATATCAAGTGTTATTATAAAATACGTTTATTATACAATATGAACGTTATTGAAATGAATTTATATCATATAAACTTATATAAACTGTCACGCACCCGAGCACATGGCGCCACTAGCCGCCCGGTGAGGCCAAGTTTAACAAGATGCTCAGTACCTTCTAAGTACCGACTGACTGAGCTAGCTGACTGTGGCGTGACAAATACTGCATGTATCACGTAATCAGTGGCGGCGTAGCATGGGTTGGCACCCGGGGCGATCATAAGCCCTGAAGCACCCCCTGGTACCCCCAGGATTTTGGGGGTTACCTACCGATTCGAAGATTGAAAGAACCGGGGCTAAGTTCTGAAAGATACAACACAATCCAGGTATCAACAAATACACAATATGTAGTCAAATATAGCACGAAGGTTTTATGTGTATGGGTTATGTGATTTTAATGAACAGTGAAAGAAATACCCTCTAACTTTATTTTATATCTTAAGCAAAATAATTAATCATATCGGAAAACACGCGAGCGGAACCAGGCTCATAATAATCTCATAAAAGTATATGAAGTGGCGCTGCCATTTAGTATTCTACAGACTTTTGCAGAATATTGGGGGGTGGGATTTATGACAATATATTTTCATTCTTGCGCATTTCATCCCACGCACTGTGCTGAATTTTGATGAGATGAACGTCGCCGCTAAACGTATGACATTCAGCATCTGCCTATTACCGAAATTAATTTTGTCTAGAATATTCCAAATGAAAATAATTGTAGAATATAGGATAGATATTTAATTAATTATTTTATTTCAGAATTTACGGGACGAAGCCGCAAGATTCCTTCTCGAAGAAGCATTCTTAGACTTAGAAGTACACTTCGATTCACTATTCACGTCGAAGTGGCTACCTTCTAGCATCCCAGTTGATACCATTTGCATTACCCTCGATGACTATTTTCAAGATTACAACCATTTGAGAGATAAAAACTTCGAATATGTTATAAATGAGGCGCAAAATCTTGTTTACAAGAAATATATTACAGCAATGTTATCAAAGAAAGTAGTTTTCAAGACTGTCGAAGAAGCTCAGCAAGCAGCCACAAAAATTGTGAAAGAGGCGAACCAAATTAGATCGTTCTTCAAAAAGATCGCGCCTGAAGTTGTGAACGTAGACTGGCCGTTCGAAGTCATCAGCATGTTAGCTGAGGTAAGCTGTTTATTATATTTTAAATCATGAATTGTTGATTCTGTGCATAAATTGGGATTGCAAGCATTACTTGAAATATTCATGTTCAATGAAATGCTAGATTAACTTTCAAAAACTACATCAATTATTTTATCTTACAGTTTTATGAATTATTGTGAAAAAAATGTTAATGTGCATTAACGGTTTTGACCGGCAATGTAGTATCGACGGCACATCTGACTGTAACACACATTTCTATTGCAAAATAGCTCTCATTACAACTACATAAAGTCTCCAGACCTTATATCTCTTGGCATCCGACCTACCAATGTGTCTTTCCCCATTAAACCCTGGCTGGCAATAGTGACTGAGTTTCTTGCGTTGCTTCTCAGCACTGGCCCATTTATTGTCCTGAAGCAGTGGTAGGGTTAATACTGGGACGTGTAAAAGTGCTTTTTAAAAGCCTACTTGCATAAATAAATGAGTTTTTTTCGGCAGGTGCTCCGCTGCCAAGACATCGAGATGCTGTCCCTGGACCTGCACGGCGTGGTGGCCAAGTGCCCCGACATGTCGGAGGAGCAGCTGGCGCGCCTGCTCAGCCTGCGCGGCGACGTGCCGCGCGCGCACGTGCGCGACACCGTGGCCATCGCGCTCGCCACGCGCCCGCCCGCCCACACCAGGGCCCCGTCGCACCCGTCGCTGTTCAAGAACATCACCTTCAGCGATAAACTACTGTCACACTTTGCCTTGTGAAGCGCTCGCGGGACAAAATGGATAGAAGTCGCTACCGCGTTCGGTATTTCACCTGTCGTGCTTCAAAAATCCATTCAATGACAAGTTACTCTAGCATTCCGGCTTGTAGATCACACTCTGCTCCTGCGAGGTGACGTACTGCGCGCGCGGTGAGTACTGAGCCAATACTAGAGTTCCTTCGCACCCGTCGCTGTTAAAAACATCACTTTCAGCGATAAGCTACTGTCACACTTTGCCTTGTGAAGCGCTCGCGGGACAAAATGGATAGAAGTCGCAAGCGCGTCGTATTTCACATGTCGTGCTTCAAAAATCCATTCAAAGACAAGTTACTCTAGCATTCCGGCTTGTAGATCACACTCTGCTCCTGCGAGGTGACGCGATGACGTACTGCGCGCGCGGTGAGTACTGAGTCAATACTAGAGTTCCTTCGCACCCGTCGCTGTTAAAAACATCACTTTCAGCGACAAACTACTGTCACACTTTGCCTTGTGAAGCGCTCGCGGGACAAAATGGATAGAAGTCGCAAGCGCGTCGTATTTCACATGTCGTGCTTCAAAAATCCATTCAAAGACAAGTTACTCTAGCATTCCGGCTTGTAGATCACACTCTGCTCCTGCGAGGTGACGCGATGACGTACTGCGCGCGCGGTGAGTACTGAGTCAATACTAGAGTTCCTTCGCACCCGTCGCTGTTAAAAACATCACTTTCAGCGACAAACTACTGTCACACTTTGCCTTGTGAAGCGCTCGCGGGACAAAATGGATAGAAGTCGCAAGCGCGTCGTATTTCACATGTCGTGCTTCAAAAATCCATTCAATGACAAGTTACTCTAGCATTCCGGCTTGTAGATCACACTCTGCTCCTGCGAGGTGACGTACTGCGCGCGCGGTGAGTACTAAGCCAATACTAGAGTTCCTTTGCACCCGTCGCTGTTAAAAACATCACTTTCAGCGATAAGCTACTCTCGCATTTTGCGTTGTGAAGCATCGAGATGGGGTGTAGGAAGTTGGTCCCTTCCCTGGACTGAAAGCTGCGAACGCCCATGGTAGGAAGCATAAAGCGCGTCTGTTATCTCATCTGTCGTGCTTCAAAAAAATCATTCAACGACAAGCTACTCTGTTTTCCTTGTAACGCACTCCCGGAATGGTGATGGATAGAAGCGGATACCCCGCTCTCACCTGTTGCGTTTCTTATTAACTAAATATTGCCGCATCGCGCTTTGCAGGCGTCTGCAATAAATGATTGAGAATTAGGTGCTTAATAGATGGCGCTGTGTCGTCTACGTGCGTATTTACACCGCGCCAAACCGAAACGATGAAATATTTTAAGAAATTATTGAACTAAATATTGTAAGTAATTATTTTAATAATTTGTATATTGGGATTGCAAACAAATAGTATAAGGTCAAAATTAATTAAATATAGCTTTATACTCAATGTATGTACCTATAATTATTCAGCTTAATCAACCTTTTTTTATTATATGTTATAAGTAATTATTAGATAGATTATTTTCATATACAACATATTGTACACTCACTCAATAAATTATCCATGATTTAACATCACATTTTAATTTTCCAAAACCTAGTCTAAAAACAAAAAGTTCTTACCACACATCATACACAAAGTTCTTATCAAAGTGCATATTAATTCACTCCAAACAACAAAATTTACATTCTATACATAACGAATTACGTGATTTATAAAAGAAACTGCAGTTAGGTAATATCACAATCATCACTCATACCTATTTAATTTTATTACGGGTTTGTATCTAAATGCAATTTACTCCCTTACTCACCCATAATTTGATACATGAATGACTGACTACTTGTATTGTAACTGTATGTAACCATAACGTGTCCCTCTGCAGAGGTTTGTCACATATCAATCTACCTGATGCAATGCACGCTGCAACGAAGCAAGGTTAATTGATAAGAAATTGCTCTTCCGGTACATTAAACCAGGATGTTATTTTTCTAATGCTCTCAAAGTGCGTAACCTATAGGTACTCTATTTATTTTATTTATTTAACAATGTTGTAAGTACATCTTACCTACTCAGTATAAAAATTCTTGCAAATACGAACAATCATTTTAGTGTTTTGAAAGAAAAACGAACAAAAAATAAGTGTTGCTTAAGCTTTGTTATAAATCGCCGCAATAAAATCTGTCACCATCACCACTGTCTGCCCGTTAAATAGTGGGATTTGGAAATTAAACCCAGTACACGCGAATCGAGAGTTCCAACTCTTAACCACGGAGCAGTAGGTACTCGGAAATGCTATGAAGTAAAAAATATACCTATCACGTGCTTGGAAATAACTCTGTGAAAAAAAAGATCTTTAAAAAAGCCCGCACCTCGCAGTATAATGTTTTAGCGATAGAATTTAATTTTACATGTTTTAAGAACTTATTTACTTGCTAGAATAAATTATAATTTGTAACCTAATTCAAATAGGCAAACAGGAGGCATTTCCTAGCATTGCATTGCAATACAATAGGATCATTTGGTGCCGTATAGAGTAATAATCGCGCGCGAAATCAAGGCCAATTTATGGTTCGAAGGGCGGGCGGGCGTATCACGAACCCACGGGCAGTCAGTCGCTCCGCTCGCGTCCCGTGCCGCTGCCCGCGCCCCACGCCTGGCTGCGATGCTGCGAACGTGCTGCTTGCTGCTGCTCTGTATAGCAGGTGAGCGTCGACAGTGAGTGTTTATAAACACAGTGTATCCTTGACATTGAACTGCATAGCTAATGAACAACTTCCTACTTTCTTAAGAGTGAAGAAAAATCTTTATAGAGTTTTTTAACATCTTAGCCAAATCTCAGTCTCGTATGTAGTGTGACATTTATTTGTTTAATGTTTGCCTAAAGTTTACTTTATTACCGTGTTATTTATTTGTGTAAGAGCGAAGAGAAAAGCCGTAAGAGAGTTTGGGCGGTACATTGTCTTTGCGAAAATAAGAAAATTTAAATAAAATGAATCGCGGTTTAAATCTGCGCGTTAACGATAGGCCGCGCGGTATTTTTAACATTCCCGGACCGCCTCAAGGTTGACCAAGATAGTCGCTTATTCATTGAGATATGACCTAATTTTCTACTACGGCTTATAAATANCTTGTCGTGCTTCAAAAATCCATTCAAAGACAATGTTACTCTAGTATTCCGGCTTGTAGATCGCACTCTGCTCCTGCGAGGTGACGTACTGCGCGCGCGGTGAGTACTGAGCCAATACTAGAGTTCCTTCGCACCCGTCGCTGTTAAAAACGTCACTTTCAGCGATAAGCTACTCTCGCATTTTGCGTTGTGAAGCATCGAGAGGGGGGGGTAGTGAGTTAGTCCCTTCCTTGGGCTAAAAGCTGCGAATGCCCATGCTAAAAAGCGTAAAGCGCGTCTGTTATCTCATCTCCCGGAATGGTGATGGATAGAAGCTGATAGCCCGCTCTCACCTGTTGCGTTTCTTATTAACTAAATATTGCCGCATCGCGCTTTGCAGGCGTCTACAATGAATGATTGAGAATGAGGTGCTTAATAGATGGCGCTGTGTTGTTTACGTACGTATTTACACCGCGCCATAAACACAATGAAACGTTGTAAGAAATTATTTAAATAATTGTAAGTAAAAGTATTATTTTATTTTAATCATTTGTATATTGGGATTGCAAACAAAATTAGTTTATGGTCAAAAATTATTTATGATTACAATTAATTAAATCTAGCTTTATATTCAATGTGTACTTTTTAATTATTCAGTATATCCAAAAACTTTTTTTATTATAATATGTTATAAGATAGATTATTTTCATATACAACATATTGTATACCTACCTACTCACTCAATAAAATTGTCCATGGTTTAACATTACATTTTAATTTTCCAAAACCTAGTTTATAAAAGTTCTTACAAATTTCTTTCACATTAGTTCTTATCAAAGTGCATAATATTCACTTCAAACAACAAACCAAAAATTTAATACATAACGAATTACGTAATTTATAAACGGAACAACGGTTAGGTAATATCACAATCACTCATATTTGTTTGTTATTGTTAGATATAAACACGGGTGTTTGTATCTAAGGGTGGATTCGTCCAAACAAGAGTAAATATTAATCTCACAATAAATTCGACATTTTGACATAATTATTTCCCATACTAAAACTGTCAATGTGCCAGTTATACCAGGAGTTATTCTCGGATCAAAGTTTGGTCGAATCGGGCCTAAATGTACTTAATTTACTCTCACACATCCATATTTGATACATGAATGAATGGGTGCTTGTGTTGTAACTGTATGCAACCATACCGTGTCCCTCTGCAGAGATTTGTCGTATATCAATCTACCTGATGCAATGCACGCTGCAACGAAGCAAGGTCAATTGATAAGAAATTGCTCTTCCGGTATGTCACACCAAACCAGGATGTTATTTTTCTAATGCTCTAAAAGTGCGTAACATATACTCTAATTGTAAGTACATCCTGTACATCTTACCTACTCCTCAGTATACAAATTCTTGCAAATGCGAACAATAATTTTAGTGCTTTGAAAGAGAAACGAACAAAAAATAAGTGTTGCTTAAGCTTTGTTATAAATCGCCGCAACAAACTGTGTCACCATCACCACTGTCTGCCGGTTAAATAGTGGGATTTGGAAATTAAACCCAGTACACGCGAATCGAGAGTTCCAACTCTTAACCACGGAGCAGTAGGAACTCGGAAATGCCATGAAGTAAAAAATATATCACGTGCTTGGAAATAACTCTGTGAAAAAAAAAAAGATCTTTAAAAATCCCGCACCTCGCAGTATAATGTTTTAGCGATAGAATTTAATTTTACATGTTTTTAGAACTTATTTACTTGTGCTAGTATAAATTATAATTTGTAACCTAATTCAAATAGGCAAACAGGAGGCATTTCCTAGCATTGCATTGCAATACAATAGGATCATTTGGTGCCGTATAGAGTAATAATCGCGCGCGAAATCAAGGCCAATTTATGGTTCGAAGGGCGGGCGGGCGTATCACGAACCCACGGGCAGTCAGTCGCTCCGCTCGCGTCCCGTGCCGCTGCCCGCGCCCCACGCCTGGCTGCGATGCTGCGAACGTGCTGCTTGCTGCTGCTCTGTATAGCAGGTGAGCGTCGACAGTGAGTGTTTATAAACACAGTGTATCCGTGACATTGAACTGCATAGCTAATGAACAACTTCCTACTTTCTTAAGAGTGAAGAAAAATCTTTATAGAGTTTGAGTTTTTTAACATCTTAGCCAAACCTCAGTCATGTAGTGTGACATTTATTTGTTTAATGTTTGCCTAAAGTTTACTTTATTACCATGTTATTTATTTGTGTAAGAGCGAAGAGAAAAGCCGCAAGAGAGTTTGGGCGGTACATTGTCTTTGCGAAAATAAGAAAATTTAAATAAAATGAATCGCGGTTTAAATCTGCGCGTTAACGATAGGCCGCGCGGTATTTTTAACATTCCCGGACCGCCTCAAGGTTGACCAAGATAGTCGCTTATTCATTGAGATATGACCTAATTTTCTACTACGGCTTATAAATAGATCCTTCAGTAGGTAAGAATGCAATCCGATTTTAGATTTACGACCGAACTCGGATTTGCCGCGTTCGCTGTAATTATGAAGTTCATTATCGTTGTGTCGTAATAGAAATTTTGTTCATTTAATTTTATTATTATATTTACTATAAGAGTACAAGTCGGATAGATTAATCAGTTCACTTTTTGTATAAAATCTAGACTAAGATTCTAGACTACGCATCTTGACCATAAAATTTATTTGTGCATGGCTGTACGAGTACGTAAGACGTTTAAAAAGGGATATGACGTGGATATTACAATATTTCTGTTTACACTGGCCAGGTGCTGTAGCACATGGTGGGGTATGATCACCACTAAGCACACAGTACAAAATAAATCAGTTTTATAGACAGACAGCATCACCGCACCTCCTACTGACATGTTCCGGCCTTAGATTTCTTTTAATTAAAAAATTGCTATCGTGGGTGGACTTGAGATCCTGGGAGAACAAACATCGTATGAGGTGTTCGAATTCATCCGTTTTAGTAAATGATGAATTGCTTATTTTGTACGGCTTAGACGTTAGTTATATCATAATGTCTGTAAAACAGGTATTAGTATTTTTATGGATATTTATGTTCCCCGTATTCATAGAATGGCTTAGCATTAGCATGGGTTGGATGAAATTCCATTAAACACCTAAAAATCGCGCAGATGCGATTTTTTGTAATTAATTTTATTACTAAATATCCACCTTTTCAAGTAAAAAAGTATGAACAATTTAATTTGGATATAATATGCAGTAATATTTATTATCTTGTGCATACGCGTACATTCGACAGCAACTGCTCCAATAGTGATGTTACATAGGTACTTACTAACACTAACGTTTCGCAAAAACATTATAAAAATGTCAACATTTCCATTACGTGTAAGGGATACATATCCAAGACAGTTTATTTTGTATGTGGTAAGTTCAAGGTAAATATTTCGTTTTTGTAAGCTACTTTAAAAGTTTTAAATTCATAAATTGGTTACGTATTTTCCAGGCAGCCGACAACTGTCTATTACGGAGTTTGCCGTGCCAAGTGCCGTCGAGGCCGGGAAGAATGCCGAGTTCCAGTGCCGGTACACCGAAACGGAACCGATCGACTACATCAAGTGGTGGTGGACGCCGCTCTACGTGCCCAGCGATGACAGGAACCGAGTCCTTCTGTACCAACGTCTGCAGGGCCAGCCTGCCGAGCTAGCACGGAAGAACATTGGTGAGTTCAAAATACATAATACATCGGTGTCATTACAAGTAGGTAATCTGAAAAAGTAATTATGAAATCGTCTTTCTAATAACTTATTGGAACTGTGTGTATCTCTACAAAATTACGAAGGTTCGTCTGTCTCAATAATTCTTGAATCTGAATTTGATAAATCTGTTATTGAGCGAAAGGATATTTAGCATTAGACCACTCTAACTCCATCTATTTTCTTTATCTTCAGAGGGGAAAGACAATGACGCTATCCTGTTAATGGACCTGGAACCAACCGACTCCGGGATCTACGAATGCGAAGTATCTGGTGTAGCGGAGGTTCGCAAGCATCAAGATTTGATTGTCTTTTGTAAGTATTGTTTGGGGCCAATTTAAACCGATGGTTTTACTTTATTTTGTGAAATGGTCGATTTATGTAAAAATAGTCTGACTAATGAAAGATTTCACAAAAAAAAGTGGCAATTTCAATTTACTTAATTTTATGGAAAATAGCTTATTTGTGAGACGCGGGTGGCAAAAACTTTCCCATGAAAGTTTTTTTTAAAATTCATAATCGCCAAGTGCAATAACTGTAATAAGTAATTGTAAATTCCAGCAAATGCCACCGACATGCATTTGAATACAACGACGCTGGTTGACGAGATGTACCCCGACCGGTCGGAAGAGGAGGTGCTGGTGGAGTGCGCGGCGGCCGGCGCCTCGCCGCAGCCGGAGCTCGCGATCTATGTCAACGGGTCAGTGATGCTAAACTTATAAGGGCGCTTTCAATTTAGGCCGGGTTCCCACTATGCCGGACCGGCATTTCTGCCGGAAACCGGACACCGGACAAGGGTGTTCACATTACACCGGATCACCGGATCCGAAATCCGAGCCGAATGAAGTGCGGGGAGCACGCGCGGGGCGGGGCGGGAAGCACGGGCGCGGCGGGGTGGGCCGCAACTCGTCCACATTACTCCGGTCCGGTGATTTTGCCGGCATTTTGTAGCGACAAAACGCTCGGTAAAAATGCCGGGCTCGGCGAAAAAGCCGGATCCGGGATAATGTGAACAGCTTCATACAATTTGTACCGCCGCTAGGCCTTCCGGCGATTTTACCGGACCGGGAGATCTGCCGGTCCGGCATAGTGGGAACCCGGCCTTAGACGTTTGCCGTGCGTTTGCAAGACCGCACAAAAACTATTGGTAGTTGTCAATTTTATTCCGACGCAGTTGTCATACAATTTACCGTGTGCGGTCCTGCAAACGCACGGCAAACGGCCGACACGAAACGTCTTAATTAAAAGCGCCTTGTTCATTTTACACGATCTGATTATACCAAGTATTAGCGTTGGGCTTCTTCCCACGGGTTATTGGTTTTTGATGAGTATCAACACCTCATTCAGTCGATTTATGACCATGAGGGAGGCCTTTGTCCAACAGTGGACGTCATAGACGACCTAAAACGCTCGCGCCTGCGCTGTGACACACTTCTAAACAGTTTCTCTAATTTTTTACTAAAGAGATCCTGTATTCCTGTTCTCCCCATGATTTTTGTGCCCATGATAGGGCACTGGACCATAAGAACTGGAAACCGTTACATACCTACAAATTACTTAACAATAGTTTGTTCATTCACAGGGAAGAAATCGTCAATTTAACGCAGCTTGTTTCTGGCGGCGAGGCCGGATTCTACAGCGTGTACGCCAACGCAACCGTCAGCAAGGAGGAACTTGAAGACTCCGAGATTCACTGCGAACTGTTCTTCGAGAACAGGAACATAACTCATCCTCCCTACGTCGTCAAACTACTGTATTCGTCAGGTATGGGACCGTTTGTTTAATCATTCCAAAGAATTGGTAAAACAAATGTTTAAAAAATACGAACATAGCTGTTTTTAAATTTGGTTTGCTTTCATTTAGTTTATATGTGAAATATTAGCTAAAATTAGGAAAAAGGTTTTAAGGATAAATCATTAAATTTAGCACATTATGTAGATTATACAAAGATGGAAACCGGTTGTATTTAAATTGATAACATTAATAAGCTTTGCCATATGCAAAACCATTCAATAACTATTTTCCTTTTAGATTACATTACCCTATTTATCAACCATGTAAACAATAGACGTTGATAAACAGCGTTGTAAATATTTCTATTGCACATTTCAGTTAGTTATAAAAGGTCAGGGTATGATTAGAAGCCATATCCATTGCCACAGCATCATTGGCCGTTTGAGGATGATCTGACTGATCTAAGACAGAAGAGTTTATGTAAATGTAGAGGAACTTTAAGAAATCTAAAAATAAGACTTGTTAAGTACAAACATTACAAACAAAGGGTTTCTTAACCTGGGGTATTCTAAACGTAATTAGGGTGTCCAAGTGTTGCAAAATAAGCACTGAGCATCTTGCGTGCAGTGTACCTAATTACCCACCGCACTACATTACTCTCCCAAGCAGGAGCACTGGATACACAATTTTCGACATTTCTTTATAAAAAAGTTAATTAATGAGCCCAAATAGTGTTTAACACCACGTAACTTACAAGAGTTCTACTAGGACCGAATCGAATCGCGTCTTGCTTGACCATTTGTAATTTTAAACTTTATAAGCGCGTACTCGGGCTTTTATGCGTTTACTGTATAGTACTGTATAACACTTTTACGGTGCTATCAGATAATTTTCGAACATAAAAAAACCGTGATAAAAAATCGGCACAAATAAAATTGAATGTTTATGAAAAGGTTAAGAAACTCTTCTGTAAAGGTGTTACGAAGGATCAGTAAATGATTTTTAAGCCCTAATCTATAATTTAAACAAATAATTCTTCAAAATCGTGTGCACGTCATGCACCCGACAGTAGCAAAGCATTAGATGTAACGTGTTCACTTACCCCGCTTCGATCACTTAGTGCAATGCAGTGCAAGCTATAAACGTTTGGCGTATGTTGTGGGAGCGGCGATGTTGCATGCGCTGCGGCCGCGTGTTGTATGTGCACTAACGTTGTTGGTTGTTGCGCGGGCCAGGCGCTGGCTGGTCTACGACGGAGGCGGCCGAGGACACGACCCTCTCAGAAATGGCATCCGAATTGCAAAACAGTAAGTTCAGACCCCCTCAACATTCGACACATTATACCTTCCGAACACTTTACAGTTTTTATTGGATGTCTTATTATATTTATTTACTACTTACTACTGGAATTTAATTTGATAATAAGACCTATTACATCTACATAATACAAATATGTACTCAAGTTTACCATTGAGTACTTTATCAATATTTATGTGTAATACAAAACTACATATAAAATAACTGAAAAAGCACCAAAAATATTATCTGTTTTGTGTATATTCATAACTGAATGTTATAAATAGTTTGATGTAATAAAAAAATCCGTATACTTATTTGGCTTGTATTTTATTTAGCTTTTGTGTATGTTTCTGGTAACACATGGGACTTGCATGGCTGCACCAGTACCCACACAATAAAACAATTGAAGCAATGGTGACGCCAGCAGATTTTCAATCCCATGTGCTGTAACTCCGCATCTTGTACTAACAAAATAATAAAGTTTTTAGAAATCTCTGGCCAGTATTTTCACAAAATATTTATTGTATTTGTAGACACGTAACGTGTGAACTTACTAATAACTATTTAAGTGATTTAAGTTACCTTCATACGTAGCATTTTATTTTTCGTAATTTACTAATAGTCGAACTACTTATTACACTTAGATATTAATTTCAATATAATGTATTACGTAATTTCAATTTTAATTTTTAACGAGGCGGGTTTAAATAATTACGCTCACCAGTTTGCGCCACTAGTGATAGGACCTTAATATTTGACAGTGCAGCGATAGCAAATGCGATAGTTCACCTGCCGCTTCACCAGTTGGCGCCACTGGCGAGTGCAATTAAGGAAACCGCCTTTTTGGTTGTAGAAGGAACCCAATTTATAGGTACTCCCCTAATAGAATATGGCTATATTGGCTATATTGCGAAACAAATGAAAATAATATGCTCAGTCTAACTTAACTTTTTGTTATTTCAGACGGCGTCAGTGGTCTTCACGCATGCTTATGGATCGTAAATGTGGCAGTCATATTACAATTGTATTTTCATGTTATTTATTGAACTCATGATGTGATACTAATATAATAATTTACCATGTTATGGTTATTCAGTATTAATTCTAATAAACTTTTGATTACTTATCTAATACGATTTTGTATTTATTTAAAGTTTTTCATATTCGTTACTACGAGTAGGAACGTATTATACACGTGTATTGAGCATCTTTTACATTCGAACAGATTGCTTTATAATTTTACATTCTACTCACAGAGAATTTATCGGCTACCATATCAGTCAGTACCTAACAGACAGTAGGTAAACGCGCGCTGAGCAGGTACACAATATTATATGCCAATCTAAAATACAATTGGAACAAACAAAATTAGTAACGAAAATCCGATGTTAGATGGATTACCTTTCCAGCCAAGATTGCATGGAACTAGTGTACCTGGAAAACAAAAACATGATTGTATAGGATTTACTATTAACGCGTAAATATTGACGCCCCATCTCGCGGGAGGAACTTCTTTCTATATATTCTAAAGAGAAGCATTGGAGATCCGAGCTAAGTTCTCTGGGTTTGTGGTGACTCCACGATAGACCCGCTGGGTAAGAACGGAATAGCTTTATACTTAGTTACGAATATGATAGATATGGTAAAATATGTTAAGAAGAGAAATGAAAAGGGATTCACTTGACCTAAAAGATAAAGTTTACCACAGATTTGGCATGTTTACCTACCGATGTGTAGGAGTCTTCTTTTTATAGCTGTGTAGTCGGCTTGAGGTAAGTGTAAGCGACACGTCACTTCCAGCCTGTCGCCACACTCGGGGACCATCAACTGTGCTGTACTCTCAACATCATACAGCAAATTTTGTCTACGCCATACACGTTGCGTTTGCTGTGATATCGGCTCTCTGTGATTTATTTATTATAATTTTATTCTTAGTTTCTATCCTATCTTACTAATATTATAAATGCGGATGTCTGGATGTTTGTTACTCTTTCACGCAATAACTACTGAACGGATTTTGATGAAATTTTACAGTAATAATGTTTATAACCCAGAATTAGGCTATAATTTATAAGGATCTGTGACAAACTAAATTTCACGCGGATGAAGCCGCAGGCAAAAGCTAGCATTACATACGTTCATTCAATGTATGTGAAGCTATAGTAGTTATTCGAATTTTCTTACCAATCAGAGAAATGCAATGAAGTCCTGTGCATATTATCTATTATAAATGTGATAAAGTGTGGTTTGTAAAGGGTTTATCCCTAATTACCTACCTGTTATATTCAACTGTTAAATCTGGCTGAGGATGAACAGATTGGGCATAGCACGTGACTTCCACTAGGCGATTGAACTTGAGTTCAAATAGTAATTCAAACTCCTTTTCTGGTGCTGAAATTAGGAATACTTGGTTAATTTTTAATTTTAGTAGGTAGTTACTCGTAGGTACTAAGCTTTTTTATCGTGAACTATTCTTCTATTTAAGAAATCCAGCGAGACGAGTTAGTGGAGTGCTAGAGAACTGTAAACGATCCGAGACTACTTAAGTAATTGATAACTAAGACTCTACATAATGTCTGATCTTGTGCGTAAATCCTCATACTACGTATTCGGCTATGGATACTTCAAATGTAAGTTTTTGAGTTCTCGTGGTCAGTTGTCAGTCTCAAAGATGGCACGGAGTCTAAGACTGCTAAGACAGTAGGGAAGCAGAAGCAGCAATCCATAACCATAGTAATTACACGGTCTTACCTAACACTTGCATACTTTTTGTTTCCTGCGACTTTACTCCATTATAGTTTACCACACATGTGTATTCTCCACTCAACTGGGGGTCCACTTGGAATATTCTCATTGCGCGATATTCTTCTGTAGCCNGAGTATTTCTCAAAAAAAATGTACGTAACGAAACGGTAGTAACGAAATGGTAAGACCATAAGGCTTGTTATACATTGGCGAAATATTGTGAATGCTCTTCATTTATTCAATTCGAAATATTTGTAAGTATGCACCCAAATACGGGGTAATTTAGAAATAAAATAAGGGAGTAATCATTCATACTATTTTAATAAAATTATTTTTGTTCCATCATGTTTATCCATTTTGAGTCGTTCTCTGTAAGCTTTTTGCCTTTCGGCATTGGTTTTTGGCGGCATTCCTAAAAAAAACAAAAGAAGTAATCACATAAAAACGTAATCTAAATGATTTGATTATTTTTTGCCGGTGGCACTTCTGTAAAGCAGATAGTATCCAATCCTCTTGTTATTGACGCTCTATATTTTTTGAAATAAATTAAGTAGTGAATATTACTATGCTTAGTCAGGTAATAACAGTATACACTCAGCATTATGTTGTACTTTTTCGTAACGTAACGAAATTCGTAAAAAACGTAACGAAATATTAGACAAATGAGATCAGAAACAAGTATTTTTTTTTTATAAAAGCTGTTACAGCAAATATAAAACCTTACTAAATGTTCGTACCACACGTATTACAAAAAATGGTTAAATGAAGACTTACCGTTCTATATAAAATCGCTGATTTTACTTCCTGTTACGAAAAAGTAATCCCACAAAACACACACGTTTTCACTGATTTTCGCGATAGATGTATGGCGGAGACGTCAGGCCAACAGCCATTCAGAGTGCAGCTATTGTTGTCCGTGTAAAATAAAATATGGAACTGTTCAGAAACCATGGGAAAGTAGAAATAAACGTAACTAAAGAGTAAATAACGAAATAGTAAATGAGAGCGACTCATTTTGTTTTTTTGCTTTAAATTGCTAATTATTATATCACCCCATAGAAAATCAATTTGATACAGAAACTGCGATTACTGTAGAACGATAATACAAAGAAATTTACAATAATTTAGTTACGTATCGCATTTTATGAAACAAAAACACATGAAAAAGCTAGGGTGGCAAACAGGTTTTTGTATGAAAGGTAAAAAAGCACTATTTTTTAAATATCTAAATATTTGGTAATAAGTAGGATTATAACTATAATTCTTCGTTATCTTAAAGATTAATATTCATCCTTCAAAATTGTGTGTGTGTGTTTTTTTGTGTGATGATTTATAAATATAAAACTTTTGAACTGTTTCAAAGCACACTTTTTTTTTTCAAAATGTTCATTTTTTTTTAGAAATACTCACCTAACACTTGCATACTTTTTGTTTCCTGCGACTTTACTCCATTATAGTTTACCACACATGTGTATTCTCCACTCAACTGGGGGTCCACTTGGAATATTCTCATTGCGCGATATTCTTCTGTAGCCAATGCTGAAAATCATAACATTAAATAATTACCTATGTCTATTTTAAATATTGCCTAAGCCTAAGGGCCTTACTGCAACTTTTAATACAAAACTTGGGAACAGAAACAAATTCAAAATTAGATTACATACCTAAACATTTTTATTGCATTTAAACAACTTAGAAGTCCTCTTAAATTTATCTTACGTGAAACTTTATATGATAAATCAAGTCGTCCTTTTAATATCCCGGTCACTCGGGGTGCAAGGGGCGGCGTCCACTCGTACACAGGGGCGTCGCCGCCGCTGAACCACCACTGCAGTGTGAAGTGATGGTCCGGCACGGAATATTGACAGTCTAGCACCACGTTCGTCGAACCGCTCTGCACTATTGCTGGTACCACAAGTTTATCTATTTTTGCTGAATTCAAAACATCTGCAATTAAGTTGTGAACTCAATTCCTTTTACGTTTTAAAAATTAACTCTATGCATGAAATTCGTAGCGCTTGAGTTGTAAATAAATATGTAATAGGTACTTACTAGCTAGAAACAAATATCCTTTTAAAAAAGACTTGGGAGATTCACCAACCGACATATTTACAAAAATAGTGTTCATAGAAGATCTTGCTCTTGCTGGCAAATACCAGTGTACTGATTGTGAATCTGAGAGCAAGTAGGTAACATCATGGAATTTGTGATCTCACTTACATCGACTTCGACACGCAACCGCTAGTCATTACCACATGCTCTACCTAAGTGTATTAATCTTTATTATCATATCTCTGTCGTCAGCGACATTTTAGTTTTAAGAAGGAAGCTAGAATAAAACTCAGAATTCACTTAATATTCTTAATGGAAAGAAAAAAATACAAAATGTAATATAGGTATCTATTTAATTGTAATAATACAATAACGACAACTTCGATAACTGCTTTATGGTAGCGAGTTCGAATCCCGCACGTATAGGTATGTTTTGATTATGAGGACTGATAAAATTTAGGTTAATCATCAAAATAGAGAAGTAGATAGATAAACTACGCATGGATGTGGGTGGGACAGAATGTGCGTGCACGCACGGCTTATGTAGGTAGGTACACAATACGAAGTGTACATAATGGTGAGCACCTCAAACCAGTGGCGGCGTAGCATGGGTTGGCACCCGGGGCGGTCACCCCCCTTCCCCGCGTCATAAGTCCTAAGGCACCCCCTGGTACCCCCCAGGATTTTGGGGTTACTTATCGATTCAAAGATTGAAAGACAATCGCCCCCCCCCATATCCATGGACATAGACCGCAGATTTGCCATGCAGATGCGCCAGTGAGTACTAATCTGCGCGACTTGTGTCACCCCCTGATGCTTGGCACCCGTGGCGGACCGCCCCCACCGCCCCCCCCTTACGCCGCTACTGCCTGAAACATTACTTTTTTATAGAGGCGGGCCAAGAACACGTACTTAATACAAAATAGTAAGTTCCTATTTAGTACTTTGTCGTAGTTCTTAAGTAGTCTAAGCTCATAATATATTTACGTGACTGGTCACCACTGCAAGCCGAAATCAAAGGAGCTAACGCGGGTCCGTCTTTACCGTGGCGTGGGACCATTGGATTTTTTTGGATATGGGCGCGTAGTCAGGACAATTCCACTCTCTCTACTCAATAAATCACGACGTAGGTTCTATGATTACAGAATAGTAAAAAAACTCGATTTTCTACTCCAAATAATTTATTTACTTTCTTCTACACACAAAGTCATGACAACTTAAAGCTTGCAAGTATTTATTTGGTGTCCTTTTCACTTAGGTTCTTACCTATGTAACAAAAGTAATAAATATTTCTTAAATTGACAATATTGGCGATTGTATAAAAGCTTGTGATATCTTATATTATGTAAATATTAACGAACGTTCTATAGCAATAAAAATAAACAATGGCAACCTCAGGCAAAATGTATTACATATTATACATTGCACTTTAACTACTACAAACTTAATAATAACATACATTAACAACAAGTATGTTTACGTAAAATGCACAAGTCGCACATAGGGCCTAGTGTGAGTTTACATCAAACGCGCTCACTAGAAAAAATTACATTCATTGTATGACGGATTGTACAGCGCCCCTAGTGGAAACGTTCAAGAACTAAAATTTTCATACATTTTTTTAACACGCTCACTAGTGAGGACGTTTGATGTAAACTCACACTCAGCCCACAGAGATGTAGGTACTTATTACGTAAACGACACGTACACACGGCCACACTTAACTATCCATTTCCGTTTTTGCTCTTACTCTCATCAAATAGTGATTCTTTGCGATAGAACGAGATGACATGACTGGCAATGGGCAGTTAACACTGTTGTTGCCGATAGTACTTAAATAATTAGTATTTAATATTTATTTTCCTACAATCTGGTCATTCAATTTAGTTTCGTTTTTACCATACAAAATTAGTAGACCATAATATTAAATAATTTATCGTGGAAATTAATAAGATTTATTTTTTTATACAGGGTGTAAAAAGTAGATACCTTTACAGAGGTACCAACCTAATTAAATATTATTGATTTTAGGTAGAACACAGGCCTTTTTCATTAAAAAATCTACATTGTTAATAAACCTAATTGTAAGTTTAAAAAAAATCTAATAACTGCCTAAACTAGATAGTGGATTGCTGTATACCTATGTGCTCTTTTGTCATGTCACTAATCATTGCTTAAGCCCCACACTTTATTACACCCTGTATATCTATGCATATGTATTCTATGTAGAATATGATGAATAATTGTAGATTATTTATATTCATTCATAATATGTACTTAGTTATCCATTTACCTAATGTATTTAGCTTTGGATTCAACTTTTAAAATATAATTAATTAATTATTAAAAACATCAATCAATTATTGTAAATTAACTCACTACAAAGAACGAGTTTAATTAATTTTGTAAGAAATAATAATATCTGTTACATCGATCGACGCGTTATAGCTCTATTGACTATTCAAATTGAGGCGAGGTACATAAAGCATACCCGCTTATTTAGGTATAGATTGTTTCATCCAGGAAGACACTACAATAATGACGCTCGGATTGCTCGGATCTAACTCCCCGCACCCCGCGCTTCCCTCGACCAAAAAGTGGTGGGGCGCGTCTTCAAGGATAATACGATCTATGCTGCTATCTAACGATAGTTTCGTTTTGAACATTTGCCTCAGTTTGAAAAATCATGTAGATATTTGACTGATAGGAAAACATTAATTAAGGTATAAAAATATTTAATTATTTTTGGAAAATTCTTGATCTTGATTATTATGAATTATGCTAAAATCCTGATATTGTCTATAATTATTATAATTATGTTTTAATCTTTGTTGATTTAATTAAAATCTAAATTCTAGGTACTCAATTTTACTTATTTTTTCTTTGGCACCATCAATTAACTCTAAATTATTTACAATTTATCCCTTAAACTTATGGTATTGATTAAGTATGTATGTTATTAGATATAATATTACTGTTTCTTTTATGCCTCTGCCCAATGTTCATCCTACATTTTATTAAATCTTAATTATTATATGGTTTCGATTATAATAAATAATGTACCATAATTATTACTGACTATCATTATCAATATTCATAGCTCACTCTGCTAATGGATATTTTCTAACTTTCTTGTCATTCTGTCTGTCTAGATGGCTTACATTTACATGTTAAGTATTTCTTCCTATATAAAATATAAAGGTATGTAAATGAGGGGTCTACATCATCCCTATTTGTTATGGATAGCAACTGGCACATAATAAAAATCTGCTAACTTCAATCTCACATGAACCTTTCAATAGTTTTAGACAAAAATGTGAAAGGGAATCAAATACAATAATATTATATACCCTTTTAAATGATTATTTACCTTGAACACTACTTGGACTTCCACACATAATACTACAAGAATTATGCCTGGTTTTACGAGGACCATCTAAATCGATGTCTGTTCCCGCAGCAACAGAAGTCAAAGCAACTGTCTTATCGAAATCAATTGTAGTGTATCCAATAGTAGCCGATGGTACAGGCCCGACAACACTTGCCGTGCCAGTTTTTTCTACACTAGTTTGTGAAATTAGACGACCACGTGGATTTGATGAGCAAGATGCAGTACTTTCATTTCGTGAACTATTGTAAGACTGATTTTCTGGAGAAATTATATCTCTAGTATTTTTTACAATTTCCTTGCTAGAATCAATGTCCAGTATGGCATAATTGACTTCTAGTTCTTCCACAGGTGACATAGAAGTGAAGGTATCTGATTCTGAATATTTTTGGTTATGTTCTGACATAGAATTGAAGTTTAAAATTTGTTTTACATTCTTTACACTTTCTCCCATTTCTCCTAGTGTAATATTAGCATATGAGTTAACTATTTCTGGTTTATATCCAACAGTCAGATTACAGTATTCAACTTGTTTCGGAGTAAGTGGTGTGGTAGGTGCTGCATCATTTTTATTCACTTCTGATGCATTTTGCTCAGTGGGGACAAGATTTACATATAATCTAGCTGCTTCTTGTTGTTCTATACTGAGCTGAGCATAATGCTCACTGCTGTTGCTCAATGTTGGAGACAAAGGATTAGGATTAGCTTCTCTATTTGGTATACTTTCATTAATATATCGGCTTTCTAGAAAACGGGTTTCATCTTCTATATCTCTCATTGTATTTAATACAGTTTCCTGTCGCAAAGTATTCCGTAAAATAGCCAAGTCTCTGTTAATATCATTACTATAAACATGTCGTGGATCAGGTACTGTTTCTGCTTGGTTATTATTATGTTCTCTCTTGAAGTCTCTCAGTTGATAAACATTTGTTACTTGATTTCCATTTGCTTGAGCGCGTGGATATAATGGCATGACTTCTAATATGTCTGCACTAGATGGTGATCTTGGTGACTGAGTAACTGGCCTTGGCACAACTGGATGTGGTGTTATATTTGGCATGTTAGTATTAGGAACTGGTCTGACAGTGTCAGTTTGACCATTGTCTATTGAGGATCGATGGATAACACTAGCTTGTAAAGTTTGTCTGCCTTGAGGAGATGGAGTCAGACGTGCAACAGGATATGGAACTGAATCATGTATGGCATTTCTCAGCTGAATTTGTTGTTGCAATGTGTGAAAAAGAAGTGCGGCTCTTCTGCATCTAAATGCATATATGCCCTCTCCAGTCTCACATCTTCTTCCTGAAATTAAAATAAATCACATAAAATCTTTGTTTACATAATTTTCTTAACTTTTTTCTAGGCACTTAAATGAAGATGATGACAGAAAACCAAGGTTCATGTATCTCAGACAAAAATGTAAGATGATTTCAATAGAATCATTATCAATTTACCTGATTCAAAACTAAATAGTTCTCCTTCAAATCCATATCTTCTGAGGGAATGTAGAGGCCATACAGTTGAATCTCGACCCTCACGGTACAATATTATATCTGATTCAGTTATCTCAAGCTGACCCGAGCAGAGCTCTGCTCCATTTTCATCTATATTCACTACTCGAAATACGTTGGGATGCAGATCTGAGGACTCCTTTTTACTGTGTAAGCACCCCATTCCGTACAACCCCGATGGCTTTGTTACTAATATTTACATTAATAAAATTTGCAAGAAATGTTTACTATCGAAAAATCAGTAATGCATATTGCATTTAACTTATTAAATATGCATGAACAATCAAAATTTATTTTGCTTTAAGCATATTTTTTATCACAAGCTCCCACCACCACACACAACAATATTTTCATTCTTGTGTCAATGTCATGAACGTCATTATAAACGTCACTCAAAAAAGACCACACGCATTATCTAGGTGCTGTGTCGTGTCGTATAATCATACATAAATCGTAAAGCAAAGTTGGCCGCATTAAGTTATTGCGGCCATATTTCTCTCAATCTTTCCATTTTTGCCATTATGCCTATCTGCCCCTATAGACAAGTTTCACTTTTTGATGGAATCAAAAATTGAATCCGTCATAAATAACATTGAGTTTCATTGAATTTGAGCAAATTTATATTTTTTGTTTATTTAGAAAGAGAGAGTCTGCCCACAGAGAGCGAGATAGTGATACATAGTTTGTGCTTCAAGTAGGTATTCAGAGTGTGGCCTCCATTTTTATCTGTAGCTTCATGGTCTAGACCCACTGATTGCTATTGCGGCCATGTTCCTTTCCTAAATCATGCATGTCTTGTATGTAATAAGCGCGTTTATTTTATAGGTATGCCCGGTCCATAGTTTTTATACATTGTAGTATACATGCATTATCTGTGACTGTCAATTAGTGTCAATTTTTTTGACATTGACTGACATTTGACAGTTTTTCGTGACTTTACCAAAAGACCAAAAGAAACTTTGATAAATTTACTGATACTGTTCAAATAAAAAATATTGTATGAAATATAAAATTATATCTAAATACCTTATACAATGTCTTGTGAAGTTGAGCAAATAGCAGATTGCGGAGATATATCAAATTTAGGACGGGCTCTATTCGTTACGGAACGTGAAGGTAGTATTATAAATTTCTTTGTCCTTTCTTAAAATATGTGGTTTTCAGTCATTGAACACTAGACTAAATTAAACATTAATATCACTATAGAACTTTCACGAGCAATTGTGATTTCTTTCCTAAAATTATTAATTAAAGCTGATCATTACCTACATTAATTTTATAAGCATGAATATTAGGTACTCAAGAGGTACAATATTGCTTCACGATTCTCGATTTATAGTGGGAATTTAGGACTATTCTCATCTGTCGGGAACTTGATCTAAATATTATTTTGTAAAAAGTTTTGGATAAGAATCAGAACCATCTTTTATTTGCTTAATGTGGATTATACTTTTGCAAGATGTTAAATATATTACAGATCCAAATTGGCTGACTCAGTGTTCTCTCTCGTTGTCATCGTGTGGTAGTCTACTGGCTGTGGGGCACAAGACCCGCCTGTGCTTGCTCACCTCCCAGTGGATCAGTTCTACAGACAGCAACACATACTTGGTCTCATGGAGTGGAACATTACCATCTGATATTACAACATTACTAGCATTACCAATATGCCCATCACAACAGTCATCACAGGTTCATATTTATATTCTAGTAATAATAGCCAAGTATTTCCTTCATTTAAAACATTCTTGAAGAATTGTATACTTTAATTATAACTAGATAAATGGATTTATTTACATTTAGTGTCAATACTATGAAGGTAGAAGTTACATTGTAGATAATATTGTTAAATTATTTGTTAAGATAAATGACATATTTTTGTAACATAATGTACTAGTATTATGTTATCTGTAGTAAATTATAATATTGTATTGTTCACAGAATGGCCCAGACTGGTTTTGCATTATAGTTGGCTTCAAAAATGGCAGTGTGGGATTTTATACCAATACTGGACATCTATTACTCCTGGAAAAACTTGATGAGAAACCAGTAATGAAGATATCTTGTCATACTGGAACATATGGAACTTTACCAGATGACATCCACATCTTATTTCCAACATGTGAATGTATTGTATCTGGAACCAGTTTATTTCAAACATTAAGAAATGCAAAGTCGCAACTAGCTCGAGGTAAATATGACAACAAAAACTGTATAGAAATTCAAAATGTTGCTATTGCCCACCTAGTAGATTAAATTGTAGAAGTGTGTAACTTCAATGCATTGTAAAATGTTATGCTGCAACTTTACTTATTGTGTGTGTTAAATGGTTTTGCAAATAAATGATTTTATCTTAGATCTGAAAATTTCATCTGATTCTGTTCTTAGTGTATTGAAAATCTCCTTGTTAAATCTTACTTTAACAGATATCTTTTTTAGTTCAAGCTGGTATTCAAGGTGCGTATGCTGTTGACAGCAGAAATATTAATATTAGAAAATGGGTATTTACTGATCATGAGCCCATCAATGATGCTGAAGTAGTGGGTCTTGAATTAAAAAATGCATATGATCACTTATTAGCTGCCTCAACTTATGGTGGTTATGATACATGGTAAGTAATATTTTTTCTTAACTTCCTATGACTGATTAATTAAATCCAGTAGTGGGTTTACCAGCAGGCTGAAGCCTAGGGCGGCAAATGTTAATGGGTGGTAGATAAAAAAAAATATAGGTCTGATAAGTATATCTGTATGAATATCCGAAATTGGAGAGAAATTGCCACACCAACCGCTATCTTGGTTTGAATTACATAACAACAACAATAAAATGTATAACTTGAAATAAAAAAACGTATATAATATTTTCCATNATGGAAACAACTTCATGTAAGTGATTCCATACTTTTGCTCGCGAGTGTATTTTCCATGTGATTTCATTGCACAAAATGTAAACTATAATTATTTTTGTTAAGGTATCGCTCAGTGCCTCCCGTCAACTCCTTGATACTCGGAGTTGGTGCGAAACCATATGTCGGATTCCATTACGCACTTGAAGGCGGAACCACACCGCCGCTTCACGATGTCGCAAGAGCGGTGGCTAACAAAATCAAATCCGCATTACCGTAAGTATGTGTCGGAAGACACAATAGACTATTTGATAACATTCAATAATTTGAAAATTATAAATAACTTGAAAAAATCGAACTGCCTAAGGCGGGAAATGAACCCACGACCTTCCGCTTGCCGGGCGACTGCTCTTCCAACTGATTTTTTCAAGTTATTTATAATTTTCAAATTAGTTTGAGATGCGACTCTTAACGCTAAAAATTAAATAAACATTCAATAATTCGAAATCACAACTTTTATTAATATAACTGCCAAAGTTAACACGATTCAAAGCGGCGTGGCGTCGGGCGACGGCCGATCTTCCGGAAGGTCCGCGCCGCTCGAGCGATTGAGTTGACAAAATTCAAAATAGTGACGTCACTTGCATGTATTGCCATACAAAATCTATGGGAGAGTCTCGTTTTGTCAGTTTAAAAATGTATCAATCAATTGATTGGTGGTGTCAATGTCAACACGTCTATTTACAACTCGACATTGTCACGGTTGTATCGTGTGCAGCCCCCCTAGACAAAACGCACTTTTTGATCGAATCGAAAATCGAATCCGTCAAAACTCCATACAAAAAAGGGGCTTTTCGACCACTTTTCGACTGCTTTGCGATTATAATTTGCACTTTGTCTAGACCCACAGTTTCGAGACAAACGCGTCAATCGTCTTTCGCTGCGCTCCCCGCTCACTCGCTTACTCAATCGTATTACCTATGTTTATCATGGTATGTTGCCCTAATTACATCGAATAATAAACCATCAGTATCTGGTGCTCTCATTTACCACCACCGCATATTCTATCAATGCGTCAACACCTAGGACATATTGACTTAGATATCAGTTAATGTTTAGTTTATGCTAGAGGAACCACCCAAATTCCCAATTTTCAATACTGAGTGTGACTATAATGTGCGATAGTTGAGGAGTGTCTATTCAAAAGGGGATATTTACATTTTTATTATTTATTAAACTGAGTATGCAGTCTTGTTCTTAGTGCTGAATACTCACTTTCGTCACTTGAATCTTAATCAAAACGGGATATTCTCCCAAGTAAAGCAGCTTCAAATATGAGTGTTCATTTCAGAACAGGATATCGATACCTCTGGGCTCAAAGGTCGTAAAGGACAAAATACCGAAAATGAGTTATTTATACAGTTTTACTCAGAATTTAATTCTCTATCGATCTGTATATTTAGTTTGCCGAAATTCCCAAAAAAAGTGCCTTTACGACCCATCATATTTGATAAGCTAAACAGAATTCATCGTGAAAATTGGGATGTAAATACCATTTGATTTTTTAGTACAGTTACCATGGTAGTAAAGAACAAGTAAACACTAATTTTTGGGCGTATAATGTACATGTAGTATATCTATTGTCCTATACAACCTTACATTTTCATACCCAAGTCTAAATAATTTGTCCTTTACGCCCTTAGATTATTTAAACAAATATTTTAAAAATCTACACAGTGAGGATATTAAAATAACTGTGAAGGTAAATTTTATAGACGTTTCTTATAGTATTTAGGTATGTGCGTTTGGAACAAATGAAGGAACCTAAAAAATCATCAAAAATATATAATAAAACTATTTTAGAGTGTAACATTTATGTGATTTGTACATATAAAATGATGACATCGGGTAATGTTGCTTTTTATTATTTCTCATATTTGAAGAAACTAGGTATTTGTCAGGTATAAGATAATTATTAAAAGATGATTTAAGAAAATAAAAACATGCTATAAAATAACGTATTACCTAATTAAGTTAGGATAGTCATCATAAAAATTGAAAAAAAAAGCTAGATTTGTTAAAAATATTATGAAAAAAAAGTCACCTTACTGTAGTACCTTAGGTGTCATTATTTTGTATGCACAAATCACACAAATACTACAATTTACAATTATTTTTAATGATTTCCTAGTAATTTTGACTAACGCCCTTGGTCAAAACCACTTTTGAGTTTTGACTGTTACAATTATAATAAATTAGTATAGTTTCTAAAGTTATTTGGTGATCCAAATAACTAGTAGGAAAAATATTTACACAACATGGGAAAATATAATGTTGAGACTTAATCTACTAAAAAGCGTGAATGAAGTTTTTTTCGAAGTTATATATTTATATTAAAAATAATTAGCTTTTAAAAACGGTATTATGTAGGAGTAAAGTAAGTGGATGTACTTTACTGGTATGAAAATCTTCCTACTTGTAATCTTACTTACCTAACTTTTCTACTTTTATACCACA